GCCGTGAGCTGCGGAGAAGAGTGAGCGTCGCTGGGGAAGTCAGGAACTGGAACGTTGACCGGAGTTGACGGCTCTGCTCCTGGGCTGTCTGGCGGCGTGTTGGCATGCATATCACCCCGTAGATCTTTGATGTTTGATTTCCTCTTCCCCGTGGAGGGGGACGGATCGTCTGTAAAGCCGTCGAGGTACATGTCTATCGCATCGTCCACGCTCATCTCACCATGACCGTACATGTCCTGCTCCACGTCTTCCCGGGCCTCGTCCTCTTCCGAGATCTTTGGCGACGGCTCGGTAGTAGAGCTGGTCTTGGTGGCGACACTGCTTCTCTCTGTCCCGCTGGCCGGATCTACACTGGACGTGACGGTGTTGGCAGACTGAAGACTCGTCCGCGAAGGCGGTGGCACGTCAAAGTGCAGTTCCGGCGTGTAGTAACGGTGGTTAGTTCGACTTGGCGACAACCCGTTGGGAGATGACCTAGGCGACGGCCTCTCCATCTGAAACGGGGAGTAACTCCTCTGACGTACATTTGGCATGGACGGGGATGGCTTCAGTCTCTGTTGGGGTGAAAACGGCTGGCCAGGAGTAGCCGGCGAGCCGCTCCGAGAGAGCGCAGGAGGTGCATGATCCGGGCCATCAGGACGTAATATCTGCGTAGGAGACCCCGTAAAGGAAGAAGACGAAACAAAGGAGGTATTGAGATGTCGTGGGAGGAGATGCTGGTCTGGTCTGGCGTTATTATTACGCGGGCGGAAGGACGGGGACGAGCTGCTGCCATAGTACCGCGGCGAGAGAGGAGGACGGCCGCCACCAGCACCACCGGCAGAAGAGCCCGACGGCGACGGCGAGAGCGTCCTAGCCGTGCGGATATCTGCAGAAGGCCTCCTGGAGTCTGCACTGTCGCCTCCACGCTGTGTGATCATGGCCACACCAGAGATAGCGGCTCAATTGGTACATTGGTTCTGGTCTCTCCCTTGGTGCGTACGCTCTTAGCCCAGCGAGAAGAGAAAAACGAGAGAGCCGAAGAAAGGAACGTCTGTCGATAGGTGCACGGAAACGAGTGTCGAGGCCGCCATCTATGGCTTGACCAGCATCTCGAGGAGTGAGATCGAAAGAGTGAAGAGGTTCGATGTCTCTCTCGACGTCCCTTTTTTTTTATATATGGAATGGAAGCCAGCCCACAAGCAAGAAACAACAAACACCCACCACAGCCAAAACGACAGAAGCAGAAAAAAGAACAACCCTAGAACAGTGTGATTGTTAAGAAAAAGGACGGCAGTCAAAAACGATTGTTGAAAGAGGAAGAAGAGAAAGAAGAAAAAGAAAAATGTCACCAAGTCACGATTTGTGGCGATGTGGTGAGCCTTGCCCAAGACAAGAAGCGCCTCGTATCTGACATCTTTCAAGTATCACCATCAGGGCTGGCTGACACGAGAGATATGACATATTTATATAATACGGAAAAAGAGAGGAAGCAGAAGTTGGTCTACGAAGAAGTTGCAGCGTCTAGATGGGCACGGGAAGATGGAAGAGAAAGGGAAGAAGCATTCCGGTTCTTTGATATTAAAATCCAACTTCTCACCCCCCCCCGCTATATAGCCATTGATGAGACGCTTATGATTATGCAGGAGGTTCATCTAATAATGCTTGTCCTCCTCTGGCAAGAGAGCGGTTCGATTGCTGTGTTCGACCCGGGTCGGGCCTCAGAACAAGGGAGGGAGACGGATGTCGACAATAGCATGGCAGCATGCATAAAAGACAACGCTACACAGGGAGGATGTTACAGGCTAACAGGATGGAATGACAAGCAGGTTACGCCCTGTCGTACATGGCGCTGCGTGGTACACGCTTCGACCCTGATGGGAGCAGTTCGTCTGATATCATTGCTTTCAAGTTCATGGCAGGGCGACAAAAAGATCACATAAAGCCCACAGTCAAGACAAGTCATTTATATAGACTATTCATCAAGGAGTCTTGGGAGGCAGGGTCCCTGGCCTCTTCAGATCATGCACATTGGCGGACATGGGGTTCTGCATACCAACACACGACCTCGACAAAGGGGAGAAATACATATTATATCTCGACTCTGCAAAAGCGAAGGGGAGATGCAGTAGTTTAAATAATTACAGGCAGTGCTACAGGCGCCACGACACTCGAATTCGCCGAAGAAAAGCCCTTGCGGACCGTCTCCTGCTCAGTCATCCTATCAGACATGTCGAAGCTTGCCCCTAGTTTGGACCCTTGTTCCACTCCGAACCCAATATCAACCTTTCTCCCTCGCTCGCCACGGTCTCGTTTGTTCAGCCCTTCCCATCCATCCATCCAGCCGATCAAAAAAAGGATGGCTCTGGGTTTCTGCCCTTCCTCTGACTCTGGGTTCGACCGATGTCGAAGAAAGTTGAAGCTGCCATGGCCAAGTCCAACGCTGGGAAGAACCGGAGATGCACATCGCGGATTACGTACTTAAAAGACGGCTCGACGGGCTGATCTGAGGGTGCAACGGGGGAAAAGATTTTCATCCATCCCAGTTCCATAACTGCGTATCTGCGTATAGCACTATGAGCTGATGTTCGTAATGCCGCAGGACACATTATCTCCTCTGGACAAGGGGTTTCACCATTCACGCACTTCTGCGCTTGTGGAAGGCGAATTTTTCTTTTGGGTTCCCTTTTCCCCCTTTTCCTTTTGCTCTCTTCCTCGGGTCCGCTTGTATGCTCCACCACGAGAGGTTGAGATGGGCTGTTTCACTAGGCTCACAAATACTGGTACATGGTACCTGCGTGCCGCCGGTGTGAATGGCCTGGATCGGAGTACCTGTTACCTGGCGCAGTTCGAAGGTGACTTGGAGACATGTCCTCATTGCTCACATGCTGGGAAAGGTCATCGTCACAGATAGTTTGACATTCGATAGGGCGATCGGGAACATCCTTTGGGCCCCGGTTTAGCAGCCTTTTGGCCCCGAGTGTCTCTTCTCCTCCTCTCTTGGATCAACTCTGTTGCTCGAGATACTTTTCTCTTGACCTATTTCTTTTTCAGACTTTACCCTCGCGGCCTGCAATCACTCCTTCTTGCAGCTTCACTTCTTCCCTCCCCGTTATTTTTTATGTTCCCTTGTGGAAGCCCAGGGGGGATAACATTTCCCCTATCTCTGTATTACTTCTTTCTCTAGACCTTTTTCTTTTTCCGACATAATAGACTTGTCCTAGCAATGGCCTCCAAGGCAGGACCTTTGGCGAAACCATTCATCGAGACACGATGGGCTGATGTACGTCTTCAAATAACCCCCCCGATGCCGATATCAGATCGGGATATGCGACTCCACCACAACTGCTGACTCCATACAATCGAACAGGGCCTTCGGGGTATCGCAGCCCTCTTCGTTGTTGCAAGTCATATCACACTATGCTTTGCCCGAAGTGTTATCCCACCTTCTATATCTACCGATGGCCCAAGGAGACTATTCCAGAACCCCTTTCTTCGTCTTATCGGCCAAGGCAATGCAGCCGTCTCCGTCTTTCTCGTCCTCCTTGGCTTCGTCAACTCCCTCAAAACTATCCAGCTGATACGCTCCGGCTGCGTACAGGATGCAGTCTCGACTCTCTCGATCGGTGCCTTTAGAAGGACGGGCCGTCTTATGCTCCCTGCCTCTGCGGCAACGCTGATATCGTTTATGCTCTGTGAGCTTGGCCTGTACGGTCTGGCAAGGAGGTCTGATGCATACTGGATAATGACCACGGCTGCCGCGCCTAGCACATCTATATTCCAAGGAATCAAGAGCGTCAGCTGGGAATTGATTGCGGTTTGGATCGTGGGGGAGAATAAATATGATCAGCCGCAGTGGGCGCTGGCGCATCTCTTCAAGGGCTCGTTCTTCATCTACATGGTTCTCCTTGCAACGGCCAATGCCACACCAGCATTCAGACTCACTGCTCTCGGAATCCTCTACGCCTGGGGCTGGATTGCGGGTGACAGTACGTTCCTCCATATATAATACTCTTAGATGTATACTGACCGAAAACTATATAGCTATCGTTCGACCTAACGTCTTCGCCGGCATGATACTGGCCGAACTAACGTACCTCCCACCTCCCAAGAAATCGAAAATAACAACCATACTACCTTACTTCATCGTCACTCTCGGCCTCTACCTGTGCTCCTATCCAGACCGGTTTGCCGATCAGGCTCGCTGGTCTCGCGAACTAGAACAGCTGGGCCGCATCATCTTCCCCAAGAACGCAGCCATGGGCCGTGCCTGGCCTAACCTAGGTGCTCAGCTCCTCTGCTTCGGCGTAATGTACTCTCCTCAGATGCGCCATGTTCTCTCGCATAAATGGCTACACTGGATTGGAGGCCTAAGTTTCTCCATCTACCTACTCCACGGAATGCTGATGCGCACTGTTCTCGCATGGCTTGTTTTCGGCCCCAACGCCCTCCTTGGCGTCACCAAGCCAGGCAAGCTCGCTAACGGGACTGACGGCCAGGTCGTTCCCCAGCCGGGAGACTTAATCGTCGCATGTACGATACCAGTCTTCCTCGCAATCATGCTGTTCGTAGGAAGCCTATGGAACCGCTTCGTTGAGCCATACTTCGGCTATGCAACGAGCGGTCTCGAGTCCTTCGCCAAGTCGTTTGGGAAGAATCAGTGGCCGTTTAACTCCATGAACTTGATGCAAAATGGAGAGAAGTCGATTTTGCCCACGGTGCGCAAGGACTAACGATGTCGTCACTTCTACTACATAATATTTACCGTACGTGGTACAGAACAATTTTCATTGCTTTTTCTTTGCCTGTATTTTTTATACGAACAACCTGGGTTTTACCCTGCACCACTCGCTGATTTTTCCTTTTCGCGTCCCGACGGTTCATTGATTGGAGTTGATACTACTATGTAGCGTTACTTGCTTGTATTACAAGATGCATTTTGGATTTTTCTACCAGTTGAGGCAAAGATTATATATCCGGCTAGAGATGTCATCATTTTGTATGTAGAATGCCTTGTTACTTCAAGGGGATGAATTACACTCATGTTCTAAGACCAGACGAAGCAAGTTGATATACTTATGTAGCCCTGAAACAATCCCACCACCATACCTAAGAATGGATCTATCAATATCCGTCATGGTCATCATATTCTAAAAAAAAAAAAAAACACGAACCTTCATACGCCCACCCATTCTCATCTCTCATCACGTTTATTTCCCTTCTCCGTTCCCTGTAGCCCACTTCCTCGTCCAGTCCCTCGCAATCTTCTCGTACTGTTTCCGATCGTTACTGTATTGTTCTGCAATCCTCCCTTCTACCGCATCATCCGGCATCGGCTCTGCAAGCAACTGTCTGGCAAACTCCAGCACAGCATATAACTTCGACGACGGCTTCCACTCGTCAGACTTCAGCATGCCGAGACACATGGTTCCTTTATCATCATTAGAAACGTTTGGATGGTAGATTTTTGTAGCGAAGGATACTGTCGGTGGCTTGAAGGGGTAGTCTGTCGGTAGAGTGAGATTTATTTGGAATGTCCCGTCCTGTAAGAGGGTTAGTTGGGTTGATTATCAAGTTTATAGGTATCGGTGACTGATATACATACTTCGTACGGTGAGCCCTCGGGGCCTTGCATCTGAACGGTCCATTTGTATAGGTTCGAATCATCTGCCAGGGCGACTGCGACGCCGTCTGGAGGCGAGTCTAGGAGCTCGTTCAATTCCTATTACATCCCCCATGGCGTATCATTAGTATGTATAATGTTGGTGTTCGTATAACTCTATGACGTACCTTTGAAATGCGCTTCTGACTCGCCATGATAACCAGTTGTGAGTCGTAGAACAGGCGTGCTTGCTTCAGAATCACCTAGAGGTGCAATAAAGAGGCAAATATCGAGTCTCTGCAGGGAGTCACTTCCTTTATATATGTCGGCGCTTGATGTTGGATGCTAGGCAACAGTATGCAAGGGCTCGCGGGGTAACTAGGCGAGACAAGGATGTAAAAAACGGTCTGACTCAGAGCAACTGCACGGCCAGCTTTAACGAACGTATATGATGGTATAAATCCTGGGGCTTTTATCCGGCTTTGCTTGTTGATCTCTGGGGCCGGAAGTGAATTTATCGTAGTCTGAACCTCCAGGTTAGTCAGCCTGGGGTCCCAAGCAAGTCCCCGCCCCTAAAAAGTCTTGATCTTGGCCAGCAAGATGCCAGTCATGCATGCACAAGAGAGTTTACTAGCAATGTCGTCTGCAAAGACGGGGCTGGATGAGAAGCATATGATATTCTACATTCATTCTTAACTGTCTACACGATACAACTTATGTTGTTTAATGCCAACATCAATAGTCACCGAACGGAACAATAGCTCTCCGCTCTCAGTTAAGGCTCTATAGATTAGCCTTACTAACTGTACTAGCCGAGATCGAGATAATATTCATGCCATCTTCTTACCCAGGAAATATAGGAGATCCTAACTATCCTAGCCTGGGGCTTATTGTAATCGGTGACACAAGCACCAGATGGTCAGCTTACCTAGTAGATCATACATTACTAGCCTTCCCTTAGCCCCAGAACAACTATACTTGAAAGATTATGTATGACTGTCAACCACTGAATACGAATATGTATAAAGGTTGTTCATATGACATTTACCTTAGAGCTGACCTCGTATTTGCCTGTGTGTATGTCCTAGGATTTTTATTCTCAAGTGCCCTTGAACCTGCTATCAAAAACAGGCAATGAACACCGTGTTAAAGTAAAGCGTGCTGTCTATCGAGTCCAAGGTGCCTCAACCATTAAAACCTGACCATAGTGGCACAGCTTCCCGGGGGGGAAGTAAAGCGGAAGATATTTACAGTTTCGTAGTACCTACGATCACAAAAGAAGTCATGAACGCACTACCTATCTTCTTCAAGAACATCATACCCCTGCCTTCACTTCCTGCGCTATGCCTAGATATGTAAATGTACGAACTTAGCTATAATTTCCTTCTTTGACACTATTAGGGCTGGTATACAACCAAGTGTGTTAACGCTAGTTAGTAGTTGATTTAGTAGCCACGGCAGAGCACTGATTGAGGAACGCGAGCAGCAATTTCCGCAGCGCAGATAAGCGTATGTCTAGCACTAATACTAGTCTTGGAGATAGGTTAATGAAAGATTAATAAATACATAAATGAACTGATGCCCATAAAGACTTCCTGGGATAATTTGCGCGACCCAGCTTGGGTATTGGGCAAAGGGACGTATGTAAAGGATCTTTGTCCTCTGTCCACCGGCATAGCTCACTAAATATTCAATCAATCAAACATAAATTTACTAAACGGCTTGGGATCTAATAATATTGACAATGATGGGTAAAGGCGCCAAGGAGTTGACACAACGCCATTTTGAGTTTATAGCGGGTCGGGCCGTGGCTGCTTATTACAGATGACACAGACCACACTTAAATACTCTCTTTTGGAAGTGTAGACATATCAAGTGATATAAATAGGCCCTCCCCCGCAATATGAGAGCTGTATAACTGTATTTACCACATGGCTGTGACAGTAATGGTAGTTCCCGGTGATACAGTTGCAAAGTATTACGTTGAGTCTGGATCTGAGCGTATACTATAGAGCATGCAACTTGGCTTATCGAGACGATCTTTCCTTTGGGACAGAAACGTTTGGTTGTAGGGAAAGGGTATCTATAAGCATTAAGCGTAGCGAGCTCGGAATAGGGGGAGATAAAAGTTGCTTTGCAAAATTTGACAGTGCTTTTGAGTTGGTCCGATCTAGACACATATTAAGTGTTTTAAGAAAAAGGCCATTCCAGACAGAGACGCTAGCGTCTATTTGCAGAAGTGAAAAGGTTCAAACAGAATGGGAATACATGGGAAGAACTCACTTATAACAGTTTTTTTTTAGAAAAAAGAAAAGGTATATAGTCCAATTTTTATTCTCTACGGGCCCTATTTACCACTTGGTCAAAAGAGAGTTCTCCCCTTTTCACATAGAATTACATCCTTCCCTGTCTCATTTACCTATATTATCCTAATTTTAAGTCAAAAGAATGCAAAATGAGGAATAATCAGGGTGTTTGATTGAGTTGCTATTAGTTACTATATAAAGAGGAAAATCGCCCTTCACAAGCCCAGCCAGCTCTAGAACAAATTATCCATGAATTAAGAGATTAATAAATCTCACTTCTTCCATTCCATTAGATAGTTGTCGTTTGCATCATAAAAGAATAATTCCTTTAAACTCCAGTTTTTTTTCCGTTTTCCGTATCCACATCCATCGCTAATAATCCCAAAGATCCCTTAAAAAGCACTTTTGTGTGTCGTAGTAGACTGTTGTTCGAGTAAGAATCTATCGGAGAGCGAAGTAGGTGGCCTCAGCGTGGGCTGCCTTGTGGTCCTTGAAGCTAGAAAGCTTTGGGCTGCTGATGCGGCTCTTGGAGTTGGAGCGGGACATGGCTGGGGTTGGTGGTGTAGTGCGCTTTCCGTTGTCCATGGAAGTGCGAGGAGTGTGGAAGCGGGAAGAGGCTGCAGAGAAAGTAGCCATGGAATCGCGCTTCATGTGAGGAAGCTCGAAGCAGGCGTATTGGATGGTGAAGTCGGTAGCGTTGGCAGCCATTGTTTTGGTTTTGTTTTGGTTGGTGTTGTAGGTGGAAAGTAAATATTGCTGTGAGGTGGTTGTTTGGTTGTGTTTGAGAGTATTGACTCTAGTGATTGATGGTTGATTGATGGCTTAATCGATGCTTTGGTTTTGATGCTTTGGCTTTGATGCTTGCTGTTGATGTTGTGATGATGATGATGAACAACTGGAGGGAATTGAGCTCCTTCTTATAGACCTCTATTCACCCGCTTCCTCTGTACCTTCGGGAAGTTTCTAATTACCCGTAGGCCCACGACGATGCCGTGGGCATGGCCACAGCTCCCCTGGTCCTCAGCATCATAGTTCTGTTTCTCTCTCCTTCTTTGTAAATTCTTCCCTGTATAAAACTTTAAGAAGTGGGTCCGATCTACTGTGGGCCTGTGCCTGCCTTAGTCATTTTGTCTGACTAATCTGCTTCTTCTGACGTCACTTGTAGCCCGTGTCCTTTCTTTTCTTTAACGACATCCTCGACTTCATCTTCATTTATTTGCTTGTTGATTGCTAAGATACTACTCGAAGCTACGAGAGTTTACTTTGCCTGAGTCATCTGTCTCGTATATTGAAATATATTAGAATGTTGGCCAGTCAGACCATCGCATCAGGCCATGTAAAAATAGCTCCGGAAAACAGAGACTTTCCCACGGCCCCTCCAACGAAAATTTTTCCAATTTTTATGCGCCTGCGATTCTTGTTGAAGGCATCTAGACGCGCCAGCGGGTCGTTTCGCATAACCAATGGCATGCAAGAACAGGCATCGGCCCGTCGCGATAAAAAAAGTTTTCATTTTTGCAGCTTGACCTGCAGTTACACCTGCCACTCGAATTTTCCCTGTCGTCAGCTGGCGCTGGGCGTCTAGGCTGGTGAACCAGCGTCATAACCAGCGCCTGCGCACGGATGGCTTGACTCACCGGAGCTTCCCGTATGCCCAACTAACATGCATGTATATGCAGTTGAGCTGATCAAGCTCGTCCTCGGAGTACGGCAAGCCATGCACGCTGAATACTTCGGTATTTCATAGATGTTGGATGTTACGTATATCCGGGTTGTCAGCTGGAAAGCGCATTGTGAGACCAGGTTACACATTTCTCGGGATAGTTTCAAGGATGCACCGTGGTTGACGCTGAGAATTAAGAGGATGGGTTGATATATCCATTCATCTATCCACGATTCCACGATACATGCTCATATGTGCCATCCAAGGTAGGTGAAAAAGTTAACGCGCAAACTCAAATATTCAGAGCAGGTGGCCAGACTTGACCCAGTAGCCCGTGTCACATCAGGGAAGAGACATGGATCGGTGTTCTGTTACCTGGTGCAATATCCACTCATGCCCGTCCGTGCTTGCATGTATTTTTCTCACCATCCAGTTCGCGGGTCACAATTTGACATTCACAGGGCGAAAAGTCTGGCCTGGCCGAGAGCCGTGAACCCTGTTGACAATTGGTACCCAACCAAGCCACGATCTTTCCCTCATTTCTCGTTCCCTTGAGGAATGCAGGAACCAGGGCGTGCCGTCTTAGCCACTTTTCCAGCGTCAGGAAGTTCTAGTTTTGAGCTCATGGGTTATGATCGTCGCCACTCGTTATTACTAACAATAATCGGCCACATTTTATAGTAAAACAAGAGATCCACTCCAGCGGTAATGGTGAGAAAATTTTGCCTGGTGCTGTGTTTACAAAGAATGCCCCTCCATACACCCTCCGTATAGACAGCAGAGGTATGTATATGACGCTCTGTTTGTGCTGATCCAAGACAATCATATACATTGTAGAGCAGGATGATCATATAGTGATCACTGATCTACCCGTCGGCTGCTCGGCGACTCGGCGAACCCTCCAGTGACTGAACGACTCGCCCGTTCACGGCACATGCATTTGTCTCATCTCGATTTATTTGCATTTTCAAATTGCGATTGAGGCTGAGCTGATGTGGATTTTCAGCATGAACATGGATATTCACCTAGCCAACGACTGTAATATCCGGCCTGAACGACGGAAGTCGGCTGGGTGCTGATGCATGGGCTCTTCATCACGATCGCACTCTGTTGGCTAATGGGCCAGAGGCCCCCTGATGGGCGCGTGGTGAGAATGGGCGGTGACGAGTTTATCCGGCTCAGTTATCCGTTTCGGGTATCATGTATTGGTGTGTGGATGTGTATGGTTCTCGTTTCGAGTTCTATGTATTTCACTTTGATTGACCGCCCGTCAGTCATACCACATCACATCCCTTGGAGGTGCGCATAACGCCCTTTCATTTGACAGTTTTGGATGGACCTAGACTTGGCCGATTTCGATACCTCGAGGCCTGGAGCTTGCGTGTTGCGAATGTGTCTGCCTTGCCTTGCAACCAAATTAATGACTACTCCAAGAATATGTCACTCCCTTGGGCGAGTCTACGAAGTAATTACGGACTGGCAGAACCTGGTTATTTTGCCCGCCGTTCGGCGATCTGAAAGTTTCTAGACATCAGCTGGGTTGGTAGTTTACTTTCTAGGTCAATTGTTAATATCTACAGTGCAATTGTTGAGTCTCATGTATGAGCTATTTGTGTCCAACTAAACAAACTGTACAGAATACATGGAACCAAGCACGTCACATAGCTTGCTTCGTACTCCGTATCAGCATTTCCAAATAATTATGTGGAATATCATTAGGACAAAGGCATTATTCCTGCATACCGAGCTTAAAACATGCAGCATAATGTGATTTTCCGACGGGCAGAGTATCAACAAGTAAATGCCTAACACATCGAGCTGTCGGGTTCAAAACGCCCTCCTGGAACTTCCTTTCTAAACACTAATGGCTTCAGCACACAAAATCCGCTCATATGCGGAAACTTGGCTAAGGTATACTATGTATACTATAATGGGTATATGCAGGAGGTACTTGATACCGCCGGCCGAAGTGTAATCCATTATGCTTTAGCCGGAACCCATCCAGAAGGGGTCAATCTTGGATAATTGACATATATATTAAGAGCAATATATTATATAACGGTATTCGGACCGATTATGGAGATATAAAATGGCCTCATTCTGAAGTATGCTATGTACTAGGCCGCTCCTTCGGCCATCTGGTTGAAACAACGACCGGGTATGGAGACTGCATGGACATGAATATGGCCAGCCCGTTCAACAACCATACGGTCGAATCATCCATGAGAATTGGGTATTGTGAATTCGTCTGACTTGCCACTGCTGAACAGGGAGGTATATGCAACTGTCCAATAACGTGGGAAACACAGTGTCCTGATTGGGGTCCAAATATAGAACTTATGAAGGGAACCAAGTAAAGATGATGAACAAACTAGCAGCGCCATGCCATGATATGATGCACATGCTACCCTTAGGGTAAAACACTCGCTGCATCCCAACAATCAAGAGAAGCAGGGATGCAAAAAAAACACACAAAGAAGTCCAAATATTGTCTTTTTTTTTCATTAAGTATGGTTTTGGTTGTTGTCCGTTTCTATTCCCGCTGTAACATCACCATCACACCCATGATTCCTAGCAAGACCGTCTTCATCCATGGGTTCTCCGCCAGCATGATCGTCACGTATCCAACGGCTGGGATGTATCCTCGCACGCTGCCAACAATATCCAGCTTGCGATCAAGGTAATCTTGGCCTTGTGCGTAGAGTTCGGTGTCATCTGCGATGTTGTTGTCGCCTTTTGTGAGAATCTGGTGTGAGAGAGGAGAAGATAGGCCGGGTCTATATGCAAGAGTCAGTAGATGAGTCACTATAGTACCGCTCAACCTCATATCAGGCTCCTCCGTATGCTTTACACAGCATATACTAGCTATCTTCCTCTCGTCTATCGTAAAACAGGTATGTGTAGGGTACTCACCCGCTAGGCTTATCCGCCTCCCTCTCGAGCCTCCTCTGACTCTTATTCCCTCCGTCTCCGGCCCCAAACGCCTTGATAACTCGGTGAACGATTGGAATATCCTTCCCCTGCACGTTATACACCACTATTTCCCCAACTTCTGCGCGCGGACTATTATTCCATAGAAATAGCAGGTCACCGCGCTGAAAGGCCGGTTCCATACTTCCCGACAGCACCACGACAATGGGCGAGGGCGAGTTGGTATATACTGACAGGGCCTTCCATCCCATAAAAGCCGTAGAGAGGACGAGGGCGAAATTGAGGATTTGTGCTAAGGTCTGGCGTGGGTTGGAGAGGTAGGGAGCGAGTTCAGCGAACATGATGGCAGATATAGGACGCCTTTTCTCCCCCTTTATATATAGAATATTGAAAATACACTATAGAAACTGGTCGATTCGAGCTAATAGATACAGCTCATCATCGTTTGTGGGTGTCTTGGGCTGTTTTGATATGGTTGATGCCAGTGTGTTGCGGCATACCTGTCCAGTAGGAAGTTAGAGCTCTTGGCTTGGCACTTTTTTTTGTATTTAAAGGCACTTTTAACGCCACATTTGCAACAACCTTCGCTCAACCATCATCATCAACTCCACAAATATGTTGAATACATAGTTATCTTTGCCACCAGCATCCAGGTATTTCTTCATGGGCATGACTACCGTCGAGACTAGTCGGTCTTTCTGGTTCAGGTGAACGACAAAATACAACAGCAGAGAGAAAGACAGATGCGTTCAGCGGCTACATACATACATAATACCTAAGAGACATCAAAGACCTGTTTATCGAGTATACGAGTGACTATCTTCATGGATTTCTCCAAATGCCGACGAACGTTCGAGGTATCAAGCGATGCTGGTGGCGAGAGAGAGCTTAGAGGGGTACAAGGAGTATAAGTACTAAGGAAGAGGAAACGCCCAGAAGCTTCAGGAAGGTATCCAAACTATCCTAGTGTCGATAGTGAGGCATATAAGGACGTTTAAGGATGTAGTATCCTCCTTGCCTGTTCGGTCGATCGGAAGCAACACTTCAGCGGACTGTCACAGCATTAACAACGTCTCTCTCGTATGCTGCGGCTGAAATAGTCTGGTGGCGGCGGCTGATCAACCAAATACAGTTCGATATTGATCAAACGTACGAAATCTATGGTGATAACACTCAAACGGCACGACTCATGGAAAAGACCATCTTAACTAAGTTCTGATATTTGCTTGTCCATCGGCCAGAAGGTTGGTATGGAAGGCGGGAATATAGAGAGCTTGTCCTGGTATACATATACGGTTAGTATCATCCCAACGGCTAAAAAGCTGTTACTATAGCGTATATACTGATTGTTTAAAGCGATAAACCGGATGAAAAACATAAGGCAAAATTTATTGCCTCTTTAATTAACGGCATATTGTCGAGCGATTATCGTCTTTTCCATATATGCTCGACAGCTTGGTCTATATTCTCGACGTTGTCATGGACTGCACAGTATTATACACGTTTCTCAGCCTTCTAAGCGATAACGAGACCACAGCTAAAGAGGGTGGATGTGTAATCTGCCATCCGCAATAGTTGTCGAAGTCAAGCTTCCTCTCCAATATTATGGCAATCGTGCCATATATCAAGCCACCGCCCAAATGACAGCGTGGATATACGAAGAACCGGATAAGTCGGAAGCCATATAGATGTTATTGGAGTATTCACCGTTGCGGGTGTTACGGCGGATTTCATGGGCCGTGGCTTTGCTGCAACGTATCTCCTACATTAGCAAATGGTGTTCCGGTGTAGTCCTGGTTCGGCATCTTTGGTAACAAACCCAGGCCATAAAAGATCCTCGATAAAGCAACTGATATTAATAAAATAGATGCTACCCATATGGAGAAACCTGGCACGCCAGCCGGGCCAACCATTGATCCGATTCCCAGAGCGGCGATACATTTATCCACTCATGAATTGGTCCCTATATTAACATCATCATATCAACAACCACGAACATACACACGTTCTGCACATTACGTTGAGCATTGAGCAGCGGCCGCGCGAGCTCTAATATATCATGTCCGTGTGGCCAATGACAGCACGTTACCGAACTGTTCTACGCCATTCCGTTGACATGATTGACATGATTGATGTTACTGTTGATACCCGCTTCACTACCCTTCTTAACGAGCCGTGGTATGGAGACACCATTTACGTATCAACACCTTTTCAGAAAAATTAAAAAACTTGAACCCAAACATGGAGGAAAATGTCACGGCCGTGACGTGCGGCATTCCACTCGGTGTTCTAAAACATCAAGATGCCGTCGGCATCGGAATTTGATGCCAGACGGATGGAAGATGGCTACTGTGATCCTTTAAAAGGGGATTTCTGTAATCAATGAGGCTGGGAGTGGGGGAAAGGGGAATGAAACTTGTGGCGGCTATTTCGTCTGATTTCAAACACCTTTTCCTGTATAGAATATTCACGGTGAACATCTCCTTGTTTTACCTTGGGGCCTCTGGCTCATGATAACAATTCAACAGTATGCTATCTTCAACCTTCACCAGCGACAAAAAAAAGAACCGGTCCCGTAAATCACAATAGTTACTTTCTACAACTACTAATACTAGTATAATAGAGGAAGAACAAGTTGAGATGGCCGAATATCTTAATTTCTAGCTATAGAAGTTGAAATCACGACAGAGCAATAATCACAGTAAATGAGTAAATACATAACACACTGGGGGAAAAGACCAAAAAACAATTGGGAAATTTCACTGCGATAGTTATCACAGGTTTGTCGCTCATATGTATTAGTTTGGATGCGGTGCGCTGCAATTTAGGTAAAGAAATATAAAAGAAAATAGATAAACAGCGAGAGAAAGCAGGCAGTACCCCCTTTTGTCGATGGTAGACAGTCTGTTCGAGCAAGGGGAAAGGCCGATCCTCTCTTCCTAAGCCAAATAAAATGCTTGCGGCCAATCTCGAGAGAAGCGAAGTATTGTTTGGAGTTATTTTCACTGTTTTAAATAGATCAGTCAATCCAAGGAGAAGAGAATCAGATTAATAAAAAACCAAGTAAAAATTTGCTCGGCACGGTACTTCATCCTCCTTTGTTATCATGTTGCACAATTTTGGTTTAGGGAGTATTTGATTCAATTTATTTTCTTCCATTCTTAGCCGACCGAGCAGGTCGATACGATAGATTCGAGGTTTTATATGCAACCTTTGTCACTTCAGATGAATTTTGGAGATCGGTTGTTGCTGTTTGTTTGTAAGTGAATGAGTTATGGGAGTTTTAGTAAGATAGAACACCATATAAGAAGAAGTAACCCTGAATAATAATTACGAGATAAAAAAGAAAGAGACGGATTAGCCTTAACAGTCAGGAAATTTGGGGGGCATACCTGATCTCGACGACATCATCAATGTGGTTGCACATTGCCACGAACAGATCGAAAAACATTTTACCGCCGCTCTCCATCTCCATCTGCATGGTTCCACTCCTCTTGAAAGTCTTGCGACTTCGGATTATCAGTGCTAGAAAATGAGCTCGGAGCCGCGATTCTGAGTCTGGTGTGTGATCGTACGTATACCGTGCCGATCGAAGGATTACATCGACTGGGATTCCAGCTTGAAGGCCCTGCTTACGAAGAGCGAGGCGCTTCAGCTCATCCAAGCCATACTTCTCAGCGGCGCAGTAGATGACAGTGTCTCGAAGAAGATAGTCATTAACACCAGGGTGGAAGATTGTTGCTTCGCAGGACCCGCGGCCACCGGTTTTAGAAAAGTCCTCCGCATCCTCGAGCAGCCAGGAGTTGCGACGCTTGTTGTGCATCAAGCGTGGGTAATAGTCCCCCTTGTATAGGAATTCGAGGACGCAGGATAAGATCTCGGGTTCTCTAACGAAAAATATTAGACACATGCGTAGCTTAACGGCAGATAACACAAATATCTCACTCATCAGGAAGGGCAATCTGTTTCATGCCATCATCGGAAGGTTGCTCTCTTATGGCAGATAAAAAGAAAGGTGAAACAGAAAGGATATCTTCATGGGCGGCAAAAAGACGATTATCACCACCCACCACCAGAGTGATTATAGGGCTCGTGAGGGTACTGTCCATATCTCAGCGTTAGATGAATGAGCCTGGAATACGCTCACGGAGGAGGTGGATAATATACTAACCTCCCAACTGGTGGACTATCTAGGCTTTCCTGCAATTTGGCTCTCAAGTTCTCACGGTATGTCTTCTTTGCCGGCTTGACGGACTTGCCTGCCCGGTCTTTTGAGGAGAACGAACGTTTGAACATGGCTGTCAGTGGGAATTCCAACGAGTTATTCCCCACAAGTCACAAGGTCAACCAAGAGAAGAGAGCACCAAAAAACGAGTGGCCGAAGAACCTCGGACATGTATATATATATAATGAGCGTAGGAGGTCAACTTAACGGGCGAAAGGGAGGAGGTTAGACGCTGTGCAGTATCACGCACGTCGCATGGGAGCCTTGGAAAGCTGTTTTCAAGAACAACCTTCCTCTGCCGTTATCCCAAAAAACCCCTGTAAAGGAGATTATGAGGACGTCAGCAAAGAACGGGAATCCTTGAATAGGCCTTACGCACGAGATGACACCCAGGTGTTGTCTCGATACGGGAACTTGACCGGTCCTGCGAAGCGTGGTGAAGGAAGAAGTTGAAGCTGAAGTTGAAGTTGATATTCGGACCAGTCATGTGACACCCCAGACGAAGGCAGCAAGGCGGTTGATTTCACACACGGCAACGCCTACAATAGCGCATTTTATATTACATCTTGTGATCCCCGCTTACGATGATACGCTGTGAGTCAGATATCTGCATCGCATGTAACTGTTTGGCTTGCTAACTAACTAGATGTTGCTATGCAGAGATGTGCCTGAGACCAACTTTGGTTACTGGTTTGGCAAGGCTTATCCGGTGGAACTGGGTGGGTTTCTACTAGGGAACCAGGAAGCCTGAAGATGTCTTCCAGTTGGACATCGACATATATACGTAGTTGGTTACGCATCTGCTTAGTTGCACCAACAGCTGAGTCGTTTGATATCCCGTTTACCACATGGAACGGCCGGGTTTATACCTGATCGACGTCAGCTACGAACCCCGATACCTTCAGGGGGGTTGATACCGTGTTGCCCGAGGCCAACGTTCTTGTTTCACAAACCAGAAACAAACCTTGGCGGGGATGTTGATGCTTTATATATATCATTTCCTGCCCTAGACCAATGGAGCTGCTGGCTTTTTCGCAATCATTAGATACATCGGCGTGAACAATCCCCCTCTGCCACCGACAACCAAGTTATCTGCGCCCAAAGAGAGCTCCTCGGCCGTCTCGGAGGTACCTGATGGCGCAAACCTGGCAGCCTCGAGGACTCTCAGTAGCATATTGACCATTGTCCGGCCAAATTTGGTCAATCGAAAAGCGCTGAATGCACCCCACAGGCTACGAGCCTGGAATTCCCCTGCGAGGGGCGCGTACCATGGGATTTTATCTCCCTTGTCAGCCAGGTCTTCCTCGAATTCAAGGACGAATCCCGCTGCCTGTATGGCTTCCATCGCATGCTTACGGGGCATCATGGTGGCGATTCCGTTACCTCGCTCAATTCCTAGCTTGATCGCACGGTGAGAAGGGTTAGAGTCATCGTACTCGTCCGTCATCACCCATTCATATATGCCGACTGTTCCACCAGGCTTCAGGACACGGTAGATCTGCTCGTATACGCCTTGGAGAGACGGCGCATGAACCGTTGCCTCAATCGCATATACGGCATCAAAGTAGTCATCCGGGAAGTTCAACTCCTTTGCTCAGTAAACATCAGCATCAGTAAAAAGGATATTACTATGTTATAATCGGACCAAACACTCACCATAAAATCGCTTTTGACAAATGAAACGTCGTCACTTCGGTCCTCCTTCTTCGCATGCGCCGTGGCCCGTTGGATTTGGTACCCGTTGTTATTCACACCAACAACCTTGCAGTCAGTAAATGTAGATATCTCCCGTGCAGGCCCGCCTATACCACAGCCTACGTCGAGGACCTTCATATCACTTTGGATACCCATCCTAAACGCAAGGTAGTGCTCATGACGTGCAATAGCCTGAAGAAACGGCTCATCCGGCCCAAATCGACAGAAGTGGAATGACTGTGCCCATGCTTCCTCGTAGAAATCAGTGGCAAGGTCATAGTAGCTAATATCCTGTTATCATCGTCGTACTTTACAGCGAACGATCATGGTTTTACCCACCTGTTCACTAACGACATGTAGTTCTCTTTTCTCTCTCCATGCTCTTTTTTCTCCCAGAACTCTACGTATTTGTCAGTAACCTCGCGATGCGACCGGTTGCCCTTCTTCAGCATCGCTAGAAAGGCATTTCGTTCTTCCGCCGATTTCCTGTGCATGGGCTCATCGGCGGAAGCGAAGCGGTCAGTCATACTGTCGTGAACGTTTGCGATTTATTATCGAGAGTATAAGGTACTTTTGAAGTTGGCGGGCATCAAAACCTGGGGTTATCAATATATAATGCATCCCCATTGCAGTTGCAGGGAACGTTGTTGCTGTGGAGGAGATCGAACTAACTATTACGAGATCCCGCGCCTCACCCCAGCACTTTCGCATCCGACTCCCGCAATATCAAGTGGACTGACGGGTTGAGTACTGGTGTTGGGACAGATGTTGTCGACTCTTACACATATCAAAGAGTTCTCAGCTTTTATATCAAAGGAGTTAAGTCAATTAACGGGTGTGCTTATTAGTGGGAAGAGTCGGCCCAAATCTCAATTCGTTTTCGTATAGCTAACTAAACATTTGGTTCATTCCATATTTCTTCTTTTCGCCTTAATAGGTTCGTTCCTTGAATATAAACTTCGTCACCCCACTTAGCCGCTATGGACGATTCGATGGAGTTCTTATGGCAAGAAGGAAAACATAAAGGGGTTTGTAAAGGTAAGCAAGAACGAGGTCGCAATCGAAACAGCAAGGCCGCAGTGTGTAGCTTTCCTTCACGAGGATATCTAAGCGGAGACAGAGGGAGCGGTTCGAAGATCCATCACAGCTACAGCACTGTGCAGCTTGACGGGAAGGAAGTTGGGTTAAACTCAGGCGGATCCGCCCATAGATCGTCTTCCAAGCCAGATTGCAGTGCCACAAGATAGATATCCGACATTTGACGACCAAAAAACTGCAGGTCAAAGGCAGGCTGGAACTCGCAGAGACGCTGTGATGCGGCCGAGCATCTCTCTTGTGTACTGCCGGTACTCTCTCGACTACATTGACGTAATACCTCTTCGAAATCGTACCGGCTCAGTATTTTCGAAGTAAGCAACTTTTGTGCCACAATACGTGGGTTTTTTATCCAGTCTAGGTCAATAGTCCTTACGCGGACATCGCCGTTGTTAGAGATATATGCGATGACAGGTGGTGAGTTTGTCGAGGGGGCGTTAGGAGAGTATACGAAGCAAGTGAGAGAGTAGGTGTGGCCAGGCGGTGGTGATGGTGGTCGGCGGGTAGCTTCATGAACAATGTCCGCCCATGCCATCTTCGTTTTGATGGTTAACGGCTAACTGACGGATAACTGTTTCGATAACTCCTTTCCCGAGGAAAGGATGAGAGTTAGGGTACTCAACCTAAGACCGATAAAAACTAAACATCCTTCGTTATTGTCAGTCAGCCAGAACAACCAGGCCGACTACTTTGACAAAACGCCCTAGTAACGGATGCCAGGCAGCAACTTTGGAATCTGCTAGCCTATGGGAATATCTATATTCCGACAATAGTCCTGAAGTTTGAGCATTAGCCTTGGCAGGGACGGAAGCTAGACTTGGCTTTCGTCACTTTAAGCTTTTGTATCTGTAGCTTATTCAGTGGGTCTAATCATGGTTTTCTACCTACTATAGTACAATCGCAGTTTGGCTAAGGGTTGGGTTGGGCATGGCTATGAGATGGTGCGGATAATCCATAAAATCCCCGCAAGTCCTTAGTTACGACCTCAATCTAGATGCGGGAAACCAAGGGTTTTTATACAGCTAAGCCCTGCAACTTCCATACATACAAGAAACCAACATCACTTCAACCTTGTAGATACTTCCCTATCTAACCTGATAAAAGACCTGGACGGGGTGCATCGTCAAAAGTGTGAGAGGAAGGAGGAGGATACTCAGTCACATCTCCCGAAGATCGTACTACAGCCAACCGATACGATATACGAAGAGTCCAGCCACTCTTATGGCAATAGGGCTGGCCCCGGTCGATGCAAGCAATTTGCGAAGTATCACTTCGGTTAATCCCGACTAACTTGTCTTTCACGTTGATGCCTTCCTGGAACCCATTATCTCCTGGAATAGAGATTATGGTTTCTCCCTCCCCACCACCTAGAAACATACACTAACAAGGGCCATATAGAAATAAAGTGGAAAGTAAGGTAGAAAGCAGGCTGCTGGTGAGGCTCGAAGAGAAAATTGGTGCCACAGCAGATGGTCATCTTGAAATGATGTCAGTCCTCTGTGAGCTGTCTACGGTAAGATCAACATGACCGGCAAGCTCGAACGCGAAGTCCACTTGAGAGGAGACGAAATTGCCCGCGGTAGCCTAATGAAAACGGATGTAGCTATAATTCGTTTCTTGGAAGGAAAATCAGAGGATTGTGCATTGTGTGGCCGTGCACTATGTTTGGTATCCTAGCTTCGAGAAGTTAGATGGGGTCCCATATGTCCTGGATGAACAAGCCCTACGTTCTCCGAAGTTTATCGACGTGCTCAACATATACGCGACAATTACCTGCCTATACAGTTATGAAAAACATACTGCGACTAGACGTACCTCTAGAGAGTGCAAGCTAATCATGAAATGTGGAAGTTGGCGAAAGAATTCAAGGGAGACGGAAATGTGATTTTCGGGTCCAAGGAAGTTTTCAACAAATATGACCATATTTATCTACTTAAGCACATGAGCAGTAGCACTCTTCTTGTTTTAGTGACCGCATCTTGGTAAACTGATGTACTATATATGCAGCAAGGCTCCCCCCTGGATTATTGCCACCAAGCGCTAGTCCTCTTTTGGTTTAGCGACTTCCCCCCGCCAAAACTTCCAAGGTTTGTCTTCGTCATCGAAATCAGTATCAACATCGATATCAAAACCTGACGACCCCGGAGAACGGAGGACCTACAATGATTTAGGGCTTACATATAATCGCCACAGCCTGATTTTGAATACTTAAACTATATTTTATCGACGGAAGCTGAAGTGTGACCGTCACCGGGCCATTTTCTGACGTCTTTCGTGTATTGGTTAGATTTACGCTGTTCAACAATTAGATACCCATACCAACACCATTACTCTCTTTCTTTTCTTTCTTTTCTTTCTTTTTCCCCGAATTTCGTCTTAATCGTGATATACCATGGCAATGCAATATATGAAATCGATCAGGAGGAAACCTGTACCTAAACCTGAGTCGAAACCTGGGCCGCATCTAGCAACGGAAGCACATGGGCCTGTATTGACAGACGAGGACGAGGCGTTCCTTCGCCATGTTACGACTTCTTCATCTATCTCGGCTGGAGATGATAGCGACAAACAACCTGGAGCATCTGGGAATGGCCAAGATAGGGAACTGATCGATGAACCGTTGGACGATGACCTGAGACGCCTTGCTGAAGACAGGGGGTCGCAGGAGAAACTTGATTCTTCCGTCACTGAGCTGGTAGCGGCCTCCACTTCTACAGATCAGACGAAGATGGAGAAAGGGCACAAGCCACGCAAGAGCCTGTGGAACATGCTTAAAGATAGAAAATGGCTGGGCGAGACCGAGAAGATGGATAAGGGGAAGAGTAAAGCGACCGAGGATAACTCAGCAGACACCAGTGCGACTAGCAAGGAGGCCGAAAATGAGAAAAAGGAAGAACAAGATCTATCTAAAGTCCTCGAGCAGTTGAATCTTGCAGCTGTTAACAACCGAGTGTTTTCGATAAGCAGCGACACGCAAACACTGCTGGAACAGTTCAAGCAGGTGTTCAAAGACCTAGTCAACGGGGTGCCGACAGCATATCGTGACCTTGAGTCCCTGCTCACGAATGGCGATCAGGAGCTACAAAAGAGCTACGCCAAGCTTCCTAGCTTCCTGCAGAAGCTGGTTGAGAAGCTGCCCAACAAAATGACGGAGAAGTTTGCTCCAGAGATGCTTGCAGCTGCATCAGCGAGAGCAAGCAAGAGTGGGATTAACCTGCAGCATGTCGATAAGGCAACGAGCACAGCGAAAAAGATGGGTATCGAAGTACCTAATCTGAAGGAGCTGGCAGGAAAGCCTGCAGCCCTTGCAGGCTTGCTTCGATCTATCATCGCCTTTCTACGTGCAAGGTTCCCTGCCCTAATTGGAATGAACGTTCTCTGGTCCCTTGGGCTGTTCAGTACGTATCCATATGCTTAGACATATCGCTCTATTGAGCTAACAATACGATAAAAACAGTCCTACTGATGGTCCTGTGGTACTGCCACAAGCGCGGTCGTGAGGAACGCCTTGCAAGAGAGGCTAGCTTGGCTGGAGAAGGGACCAAAGAAGAGAAAGGTGAAGGTGAAGATGGTAGGGTGATCGATGTCACGGACGAGGTATCGCCAGCGCCAGCTACAGCAACAGAAACAGTAGCAAACACCGAAAACGATGCCCAACTAACAAGGCAGTCAAACAACGAGGTGCAGGCTCCGACGCAGATCGAATCCCCGACAACTGCCACCTCAGAAGCAGCTGCTGCAGACAAGGAAACACGTCAAACGAAGGAAGAGGAGAATGTGAAGTTATAGCCGCCCGGGACCAATTGAACCATGCAAGCAAGGGATCGCAATGAAGAGGACGGAAGGTAGAATTGGAGGTGAATAATATATTACACTGTGGAAAAAGGAAGGTAACACTATTTTTTTTAACATCTATTGTACACGTCAGGAGAAGAATTAATCCCCCAGCGACACAAGGTGGAATCGTACGTATATAGTACACCGTACATAGAGCACACAGTATCCCTACTGTGCATGTAGTCTCGGCTACCTGCAGCAAGCCTGTACGTGCATATACTCCCTTCTGAGACAAGAGATTTAAGATCGGGTTTGTGCGGTTTTCTCGTTTAGGCCCCAGTCCAAAGATTAGTTATTATTATGTCAGTTAAGAGGATATGCCTTTTTATACGAAAACTACTACTTATTATCCCACAACGTAATAGCGTGTGAAGTGTCAGAAACTAGCAACTGCTGCTCTGTCAATGTGTGGTCAGTATTGCCGTCATCCATTTATAAATGGTTAGATCGAAGTTCCACTATATGCACATCATCATCGTCATCGCACTCGTTAACCTTGCCATGTTACCTTTCTCTTTACATATATCGTATGTACTACGTATGCATGGTGCAGATGAGATTACAATCCCGCTTTATACCAGGAATACAGGCGGTTAGAAGGGAGGGAGGGAGAGAGCAAGGCAGAAAAAAAGGCAGAGGGCTCCGTTATGCTGTGGGACTCTTTCTCACTTTTGGTGGATTGGGTAGATTTCGTCACTAACTGGCTGGCGTCATGCATAGAAAGACGCAAGGCTGGGATGGGGACAACATCTCCCCCCAAACGGAACCTGTAATTGCTCGTGAAGATGGGGCGGAGAAGGGCTGCACGGAATGTGATATATGCTGCTTGGAATGCAGAAGTGAACCTGGCCTGGTCCATACAAGCCATACCCAGGCCGAAGGAGTAACAAGTCTCGCGCCAGTTTCCCCAGACAGGACCTGATACTTGCAGGGCCCCTGGTTGGCTCCAGCAACATGGAACATCTTATGGACACAGGATGTCTACACTGTCGTTAGCAAGCACACGCAGACGGCAACAAGACCATATGGAATGTACAGAGTAGTACGTGACTTGTGAGAAGTGTTCTCCGTACCTAGAGTATAATCTATACAGGTATCCCCTTGTCTTTCGATGCATGAAGTTCGGCTTTAAGAAAGTTGATATCAAAAGAAAAGTCATGTGGAGAACAGAAGAGGAAAAGACGGTGAGCGTGGCTGACCAATCATGTCTGTCCTAAAGGGGAAAATCATGCCAAGACCTTCCGAGCGGCAGAAAAAAAATCGGTTCTAAGTTTATCCGAGACCGACCGCCTGGACCGCCGATCCCTGCCCAGCACAGACAGATGGGTGGTCCCTGCGTGCTTCCTTTTTTCTTCTTCTTCTTCTTCTTCTTCTTCCTCTTCCTCTTCAACAACCCAACAGCAGGACAGCAACCGCACCGGTTCACCAAGAAAGCAACCCATTACGGATAAAAAGCACCATCATATCAAATATCGTCGATTGCCCTTTTTCTCTTCTTGCCAACATGGCTGTCGCTGGGCTCTAAATTCTCCTCCGCTGGGGGGGCAACGTACCCTCTAAGGGACCCCCCAGCCCTGAGATAGTCCAACGAGTTAAACAAAGGAAAAGAAAGAAGAAAGATCTCTCAAATCGACCTCGACGATATTTGAAATTACTCTTTCGACGACCCCCGCTTCGTGCGTCGAAATTGCCCCCCCTTAACGCAATCTATCCATCATAGTGACGCCGCTTTTTTTCGACCGTTTTTTTTTTAACCTTTCCCCCCCCCCTCTATAATTTTCCGCCATACTCCGACTGCCATCTGCCCTTAATTATACGGCTGTGATAGTACCCGCTACTATACGTTCTTATCCTCTCTGTGCATCTCAACTTGCGATATCGGGACAAGGCCACGATATAAGTTGCTTCAGCCTGCAAACTTTAAATCACCAGAGTCGTTAAAAAACCGTTCGACATCATAACGAAAGAAGAAAGAAAGGAATAACGAGAACAATTAACTGACAATGGGCCGTTCCGGGGCAAAGATCACACGACAGCCGTCGTCCCTGTCTCGTTCAAAACAACGCCGCTCAACGATCGGCGGAAAATCACGCTCCCCGCAGCTCAAACTCAGGCTTAAGAAAAACAACAAACGCAGGGCACCGCCCTCTATATCGAGTGATAACTCGTCCAGTGAGGACATGAGTACCGGTGATGAAGAAGAAGATGATGACGATAGTGGGGACTCGAGTGAAGAAGATGATGAAGACTCAACCTCAGCAGCATTTGCCCCGTCTTATGGTGGCAAGAGACGAATTGGCCATAAGGCGGGGCGTACTGGTGGAATTTCATTGTTGCAGGATAGAAAGCTGAAGTTGCAGCATGCCGAAGAAGATGATGACGCTCGCTCTGTTAGCTCCGTCAGTTCCGTTATCCCCAGTGATATTGACAGCTCCGACGACTCCGATGATTATCAGGGCGTTGATGAAGTTAGTGATGGCGAAGATGAAGAGTTGATGCTGGAAAAAATTGAAGAGGAGATCATTCTTGAATCTGAGAATGAACGGTCTACCTTCAGTAGGCTGTCCGGCACCGGCTTCGGTGGCGGTGATGAGTGGACGGAGCTGGATGATCTTGAGCATCGCCCGTTCTACACCGCAGGCTCCTTCTTTGATGACGAGCATCTTCTCATGCAGTCTGGAGGACATAGTGACCACGTTGATGCAGGTTTGACCAGCGAGGCAGCTGAGACTCCTGTTCAACGGCGAGTTCACTTTGAGTCGGATGACTCGTCCGACTCTGACAAGTCTAGTGATGAAGATGAACTGCTTCCCGACTTTTTACACCAGGATCGACTTGATCCTGACCTACGACGAATGATCGAGACGGATTCAGGACCACCGAGGCGAACACGAAGTCCCTATGACTTATTCATCAACAGTGACTTCTGTGACTTGCCTGATAACATCTATCATGTGGAAGAATCCGATAACTCGGTGGGAAGCTCCAGTGGCTACGAATGTAGGTTCCTTGTTGCTTCTTCCATGAAGCAGATCAGCTCATTTCTTTTTTTCCATATTTCTTTTTTTTCTGGTTACTAATTATCGACTTTCATCCCTATAGCTGATGATGGGGAAACCACTGATGAGGAAGATTACCTCCCTCTAGCCACCATCACTCATCCGAGATCTATTCTCCGCAGAGAGTCGAGTGTCTCACTCTCCGGAGACGCTGAGGAAAACAAGGCTGACTCTTGTGCTCCTCAGCGAGGGCCTCTCAGAGGAACGTTCATTGCTGATCCGTATAAACCGGTTGCTGTCGTTGCCCCCAACGGCAGGCAGCTAATTCTCATTCCTCCTTATGCATCTTCCCGCCATGACTGGCTCGAGTCGGCTGCCGGCAGCTTGGTTAACACTGCAAACAACTCTCCTGGTACAGCACATATAGACGACAGTGATACCGATGCACTGGTGTCTCCTCGTAACACTGACATGAGCCCTATGTTAAGCTCCAATGCCAATCTAATGATGAGTGCACTGGGCAACGACTCGGTAGGCCAGGTCATGGGCCCTCCAGAGGCATTCTACCCTACCAACCGCTACTCGATGGATGCCAGCTACGATGAGGATGAAGAAGATAGCGAGGCCATGCTAAACGTTGACGATTTCATTGACTTCGGGGACGGCTCGTCCGACGATGAAGACCGAGAATTGGACGACTTGGAGGAACCTACTTCCCCTGCCGCCGCATCTACCATTGGCTGTCTAACACCAACACCCCGACGAGCCTCTGGTGTTGCCACGGATAACGACCAAACCCCAACACAAGCAAGCAGTGCTGAACGGCTTCTTAACCACCTTGATCGCGGCATCGTTACCGCCTTCCGTCGTAACCATAACAGATACCAGGCACTAATCAGACTCCCACATCACAAGGAGTTTTTGCCTGCCAACTCTCCCTCTCAGCCTGCAAGTGCCTTCAAACGCTCTAACCCTCGCACCCCAACGAGGAAGAGACAAGCAAGTACTTACCTGAGCAGCGAGGCCGTCCGGCGAAAGCTGGTCGATTCACATCGCAGCCGGAGAAACACCGTTGCATATTAAAAAGGAGAATATATGAAATCAAACATGGAACAAATCCAATCGATCCAAAGAAAGAACCGATAAGCATGGCCATAAACAGCCAAACTCTCCCTATTCACCTCCGCTATATTACCAACATACACCGCCACTACCTTTTGATTTGATGTTGAGTTTGAATTGCATTATTTCTCACTCCTCCTTTCTCACCTCTCTTCCCTTGCAGTCATATCATATCACGTTCTATGATAATGAACTCAGGAGCCACACCTCCATATCCTTCGTCTTCTTTGCGTTCCTTTTTATCTGTCTGCATCTTGTGTCTTCCTATTGTGAATGCCCTAATGAACCAAAAGCACATACCAACGGTATAAACGCAAAGAGCATGTCTATCATTATTTATTCCCCCTCTCGAGGATATATGGTTGTGCTGTGATTGTTGTCTTCGTGTGTGTATACTTCATCAGTGAATCTTGTGTGTGTATGTGCCGAGCACCTCGTGTGTGACCGACCAAGTCGGGTATACGTATGAGGGAAGCTGGAAAGGAAAAGGTCCCAAAAGCAAATATGTCTGGATTCTGTTTTTGATCAAAAAGTGTATGAAGTCTCGCTTACTGTTTGTCGCTATCTTCTTTTCTTCGATGTTCGATCTTCCTGTTCGATATAGGACCTTTGTTTAGCTCTTTTTTAATACATTTTTTTTCGCGCCCTTGCCCTTGTCACTGGCCTTCTCCCTTCTTTCGGCTCAAGGTTGATCTTATCAATGGAGAAGATGATAGTTCTCTTCTCGACTAACTTCTTATGGCGCATGACGAACCCGTCTCGATTCCCCGGATTATCAAAAGGAGCATAAGCAAAACCTCCGTTCATCCTCCCCATCCCCTGTTCACAGCTCTACTATATGTATGCCACATCGCTTCTGCCCACAGACGGTCCAAACTCGAGCTAGAAAAGAAGCAAAAGGCCTTTGTTATCCATTACCTTGTCGCCAATATCCTCGCTATCCCGACCTATCATGCCGAACCCTTCGATATAGTCTCTTACTAGTCTTTGAGCCCATTGCGCATGTAAACGCGTCCTTTTGACCGAAGGGTGAACTTATTCTACTTCCATACCTATCAGATCCATCGGTTAATTCCCTCGAGCGCAGGAACGAAACGGGAACGAAAGCAAGAATTGCCTTTTAGAGTGGCTATGCTGTGTTTCTTGATCGGTATCTGGAGCTTGATGGGATGGGATAGTTGATACACACCCATGTTGGAGCTCCGAGGTTAAGAGACTAGCCTAACTACTAGCTGTTCCCCAAGGTAAACGCTACAGAGGACGCACTCTAGGCCGATCTAGCTCTCGGCGTTGGTTACTACGCTTGTCTGACCCCCTTGTGGGTTTCGGTAACTAGATAAACTAGTTGGGTTGCAATGCTACAGCTAACGAGCTTCGTTGATATGGAGTAGACGGATATATATAGGCGATGTAACGCCCGCGGCAAAGTAAAACTTCGGCTCCTCGAACGTTTAGCCCGCTTATGTTTTGTCTTTCGAGCGGTCGTTTGGACCAGGAGGTGATCAGATATTCACGTCGTATTTTGGTTGAACCGGGGAGAATCTGTGGCTGGATCTGAATCTGGAGGTGCGTGCAGCAGTGGCTAACATGCTAGGGGTATTCCTATTTGATACCCATGGAGTCTCTGGTTGTTTCTTTGGAGTCTGATCACAGTGTTCAAAACACCAAAGGGGGTTACATTTCAGACACCATAGGGTTGTGTAAATAGTGATATTATGCATCCTTGGTGAGAGCTAAGGTAAAAACTAAACTCTAACTGGATTCCATATGAGTAGGAAATCGGATAAGACGGTAAAAGGAGGAATACATATGAGATATCAAACAGAAATCAATTCATGATCGTCCCAGAAATGAATCCTTAGAGGAGGGATTGACCCTCTACAACTTAACACTGCCGCCGGTTGCTCTGTGAACACCACAAGTTCCGTGCAATAGAACTGATATTAGGAAACAGTTGGTTACTAGAGAGTCAAAGGAGTTTCCCAATTTTGGACCTTGAACATTTATGTTGGTTCAACAGGGCCGAGATATCCAATGATTTGGCGCTCATATGCAGTTTGGGATTCCATAGTTAACTTACCTCCACCTCCAAGGAACTTTTATATTTCTTTCTTTTTTAAACAATAGCCGGCCAACAAAATTGAAAACAACATGACAAGTACCTGAAAGAACTTGACCATTATTATCTACCACCAACTAGCCCTGGAACCCTTTGAAGCCAATTAAGACGGACAGTTAGACCGCCACCTGATTTTACTAACTAGTTGAACCAACCCCGCTGTTCAACATCAAACATTGATCAATGCCAGTCATGCTACTTGTAGGTATTTAGGATTCAGCTCTATATGATTTGGTATTTAGCTAAATTTTAGTATATTTTTGAAGGAGCTTCGTACCCTGTTGTTGAGATATCACTGAACACCGAGTTCCCAAAACTGCCTGCCATGACCGAAACGCTTGTTAGCATTCCATATACTGCAGCCAATCTCCCTGGACCTCTTCCAACCAAGAGTCAGATTGAGAGCGCACCGGTTCTCTCACAACGTGGCGACACAAAAATTGTCAAGGTAGATGATAAATATGCCGTAAAGTACGGTCCAGCTGCCCAGTTCTTTTTCTTCGAGGGTCAGAATACGATTTTTGTCAGAGAGTCAACCAATGTTAGCGTTCCGAAGATATATGCCTTGTACAAGCCGATGCCGAAAGCGAAATGAACTACATGGTCATGGAATATATCGAGGGCCAGACGTTAAAGTCATGCTGGGATACGCTCAGCGATGCTGAAAAGGAGGATATAGCAGCAACACTCAAGCAATACTTTACAGAACTACGCTCGCTGCCTTCTCCGGGATACTACGGTTTCTTAGGGCGTCGGCCTTTTGAGAGCTTGATGTTCGAAACCATGGAGCCAAATCCAGCAATTAATGGACCTTTCGAAACGGAGGAGGACTTGAACGAAGGGATGATTCTCAGCTATGCGTCTCGCAGGCCGAAACATAGAGCTGCTTTTATGAGACGAGCACTCGCAACTACTTTTCATGGACATGAGCCCAAATTCACACACGCCGACTTTCAATGCAAGAATATAATCGTGAGGAAAACTGGATGTGAAGATGGAAAAAATAGAAAGAGAATGTATGAAGTCACAGTGATTGACTGGGAGGAAGCAGGATGGTACCCGAGCTATTGGGAGTATACTGTAGCCGCACATGCATCGGACTGGCAGGATGACTGGCCCAACTGGCTGGCAAAAATGATGGATCCATATGACCTAGAGTTTGCGTGGGTAGATATGATACATCAATCATATTATGGCGGTCTTTGAAGGAACAGTTTTTTCTCACTTTCATTGCGTTGGCTTTCCCAAGCGAATATGTACTATCAGACCGCATTACGTCGACCACAATACATAGTACATATGCAAGCTGATTGATTGGCTTCACTTTCAGGTCATGATGACGACGAACCTGCCTTGCGTTGGAAGATGCTGAATGCTGATTGGAAAAACGTCACTCACGTCTTGTAGAGATGTCCACCCAAGAGCCCCTTTGTATTTCACAATCTTATCTGTCTCAATATTCGGGGGGGTTTTGCCGGGAAAAAAAAATCTCTGCTGACGGAGTACACGAACTCGAACCGCGGAAAAATCACTGTTCTGAAGGCCGATTGGAAGATGCGGGTGCAACATTCGGCATCCCTGGAGCTCTCAGACACTAGGTACAACATCCGGGAGCTGCTATTTATCCATGACCCAGTCGTCGATCACATGTGACGACAGCTCTGTATGTACGCCGCTAATTTCGAGAATAGAACTGCGCCGTGACATATGTAGGCCTTCTCATTTATCACTGCATCGCTCAGTTGCAGGAAAGGAGGTGACTTGCCTATTTATAAAGTGTGAGATAAATGTACTCTATACGGAGGATGTTAATATTAATAATTCATCCTCTTATAAGCAGTATTTTTGTATTATATATATAGTAGGCGGCGGGTCTGATATCCTTAGCGGACGGGGGCTCGGAGGACACCGGCACAGTTGAACCCGGTCCGTTAGTTATATATGTACTACGTAGTAGATATATATTGCAAGATGGTTACCTATAGGTGTCCACACAGAAGAGCATGAGTCGCCGTATTTGACCAAGAGATCTACTGAATGCTCAGGTGACATGTGTAGGGGAAGATTTTGCACGCCTTTCAACATCTTGGGACGGAGTTATAGTCGAGTGCCGGGTATTATTGACCAGCATGGCATGCCCCTGCCAAGTAAACGCGGATAAAGTCTCCTGAGCGAGCTTCTCCGCACGGCTGACCGGTTCACCAGAAGGAAATATAGAAACAATAATATCTCCCTTCTCACAAGGATGTATATTTGGCTATAGCACCCACATGCTACATGTCCACTGTCATGGATGTTCACTTGACCTTCTCGGTTGTGAAATTTTAAAAAAAATTCAATAGTCCGATTATGTACTTAACAGCAGCAGAGAGTGCCTGATAAGCTCTCCTGACGATACAACTCAAGTAACTAGTCAGTTAGCGTACGAAGTGCAAGAATGTCGTGATCTCTGCAGGAGGCTGTGTAGTCGGAGCCGAAACATGCTTTCAAAGCGGAGAAACTCCGTCGTGGGGAACAGGAACAGGCCTAGCTTGGTACTTTCTTGAACTGTCGGTATATGAAAAGTCGAAGGATTGGATCTTTTCGTGAAGACTACCGCTAGCCTGAGTATCAGCACTCGCCAGGGCCCATCGATCTACCCCGAGTCATGGATGTCGAGGCGAAAAGAGGAGAAGGGTTTCAGGAACTATTAGGACGCTCTTGGTGGTGGATAGGGTTGCTGTTGTTTACCAAGGCCGAGATTTCTCCCTTGCTGTGGCTCAAACGTCTAATTATGAACCTAGGAAGGCCTTTAACCATGTAAAATACATATATATTCCTCTTCTTTGACAGGGTTTGCAGTGGTTGTCCTCACGGAGCGGTGGAGAGAGAAAAAAAGGATGCCTGCTCTGGTAAGATACGAGATTCCAATGACCGATCGTTTGGCGTGGCGAGTATAGTTATGGAGAAAAGGGCTGGTGCCAAATGATTCTCAAATCATCCATCTTTCTCGGTCATCTTGCATTTGGGATATTCCCTCCAACATCCTATTTACGTAGGAAGATAATTTGGGGTAGCATTGGGCGCTACGCTGATGGACGGACAGACAGAAAGATGCAGGCTACCGTCCAGCGTGGCGAGGTCGACAGGATCCGTGCATAGAGACAGTTTTTTTCTTCCCTCTTCGAAGTTTCATAATGAGACCTGTTAAGAATCAAGCTTCGTAAGGTGGAGGAATGTCCGGCGCTAACAAGAGTTAGCCATGGAGAATGAGAAGAGTCATCCGTGAGATTCCGTGAGCGCAGCTGCATATCTAGCTGTGCAAGCACGTATATGCACTCCGTAGGCCCGTTGCAGTCCTGGTTCACAATCAAACTGGAGGGAGAAGCAGGAGTTGGCAAAAATAGAAGGCTATCGTGGAGTGACAATCGACTTGTTCGCCTCTGATGGGCATCGAACGTCGTCTAGCCGCCGGATCGTCAGCTCGTCGTTCGATGTATCCGACTTTATCTCGCCTTCCTGGACGTTCTTTTTCTTTTTCTTTTCTCTGCAGCTCAACCTTGATAAAACTGGGCGGTTAGGAAGTACTTTTATATACTTATATAAGCATACTAAATATTAAGTAAGTAAAGTACCAAAAAGTACATTATTAGTCAGCAACCCCGATTGGGGAAAATTTCAACGTCTTTCGTTCGACTTCATCTTCTTCTCAACCAACAACAACGACGACGACGACGGCAACAGGCAAGCAAGACGCAGAGACGTGACATCTGATGGATGTCAGGGCAAGACACCGTGACGGTGCATGCAACGTTGACCTCCCTGATGAATAATGGGACGAGTTGGGTTTCTCTGACGGCGATGTCGAATCTGGCGGTTTCAAAGGCGGCCTTTGCTCGCATGCATATCTCAAGAGTTTCAGTGTATCAGCTGAACCAATGGCGCCTCCAGAAACGGCATTTACCCTCGGCGAATCGTCTGGCGAGTATGCAAATATACTAAATTTAGTGGGAGGGGGATGTTCTCTGAAGAAGAAAAAAAGGGGAAAAAAGAAAGAAAACTGCCCCCCTGACCCTGCACATTATGCGGTGGATGGGTGCTAATGCACGCAACCATCCACACCAAGAAGAACACCCCCTTGATTCTAGATTCCTTGCCTCTGGCGGTTATCACCCTGTTTGGAGGATGTGCTCTTTGCTTTTGCTGTTAACCTCCTTGGGAATGGTTCAAAACACCCCGGCGCTTCATCCCCTTATAGGATAGGTCCAGCTTAACCTTACTTCTTGGGATCCAGACTGATGCAAGCTCCTCGCTTCCCCTGTCGGTCTGCCCACTCTGGCGCGAACTCTGGTCTCCAATGGCCGGCTACCACAACGCTTTGTCAACTATACTGAGCCGGATATGCCAGGTGCAGCGCGAAACAAACCATCTACCTAGAGAAAAAGCACCAGTGGGGAACCTGCATCCCTTTTCCCTTAGCTGTGGCAACCCTCGTCGCTAGCACCCTATGGGCGGCGGCGTTCTTTTCAATGCGAAACGAAAGGGCGGGAAGATAACATGCTTCGCGCTTTGTATAGTTGGGCTGGTGACATATTAAATGTCCTTCAAAGTCCCCCTTTGATCTCTCATTCCCTTCCCATCATCCTTTTCTTGTCTCTTTCTCTTCCCCCCTTCCTCCCCATTAATCACACTCTTTATTTTGCTTTCCTCGTTTGATTGAGGCTCTTTATATCTCTACCATTATAGAGATATAATAACTACCATCCCTTATTATTACTCTAATCTTAATATCGCTGGCTCGAATTACATTAGTGCCGTCTCTCGTTTGACTCTTTCCTTCGGGATCCAATCATTTACATTTGATTCATACATTCACTACACATATTTTACCTTCCTACCGCTATGAAGACTACAGCTAGAGCCTTCGCGCTCCTGTTGGCCCAACAGGCCGGCGCTACCTATATACCTGGTGGTGCTGGTGGTAGTGTTGGCGGAAGCGTCGGCGGAAGCATTGGAGGAAGCGTTGGCGGAAGCGTTGGCGGCCACGTTGGAGGAGGTGGCAGTGTCGGCGGTGGCATCGGTGGTGGTGTCATCGGCGGCGGCAGCGGTGGTGGAAGCGGTGGAATCATCATCGGCGGAGGCGGCAAGGGAGGCGGCCACGTTGGTGGTGAGATTGGAGGCGGCATCGGTGGTGAGATTGGAGGCGGCATCGGTGGTGGTGTCATTGGCGGAGGCCATGGTGGTGTTGGCGGCGGCATCGGCGGCGGCGGAAGCGGTGGCATCATCATTGGTGGCGGTGGAGAGGGAGACGGTCATGTTGGCGGCGGAGGTCATGGCGGTGTCGGCGGTGGCATTGGCGGTGGCATCGGCGGAGGTGTCATCGGCGGAGGCCATGGCGGCGTCGGTGGTGGCATCGGCGGCGGCGGAAGCGGTGGCATCATCATTGGTGGTGGAGGAGATGGAGACGGTCATGTTGGCGGCGGAGGCCATGGCGGCGTCGGCGGCGGCATTGGCGGTGGCATCGGCGGTGGCATCGGCGGCGGTGTCATTGGAGGCGGCCATGGAGGTGTTGGCGGTGGCATCGGCGGCGGCGTCATTGGAGGCGGCCATGGAGGTGTTGGCGGCGGCATCGGCGGCGGCGGAAGCGGTGGCATCATTATCGGTGGTGGTGGAAAGGGAGGTGGCCATGGCGGCATCGGTGGTGGAATCATTGGCGGCGGCATCATTGGTGGTGGCATCGGTGGTGGCATTATCGGCGGTGGTCACGGTGGTATCGGTGGTGGTATCATTGGTGGTGGCCACGGCGGCATCGGCGGTGGAATCGGTGGAGGCATTGGCGGCGGCATTGGAGGTGGAATTGGCGGAGGCATTGGCGGCGGCGTAAGTTTCTCTAATTCCTACCTATCTATCCATCGTCACAACCAGCTAACAAAGCGATAGTGGTGGGGTCCTGGAACTTGCTTCCCCATCCCAGACAACTGTGATAACGAATGTACCCCCAGCCAGGAAGCTGGTTTCAGCTGGTCTGGTCTTCTTGAGGGAGCCATTGATCTCTATGAGGGTTTCAACTTCCGTGGTTGGACTTGCACTTCCGACTTCATCAAACCCGGCTGGAAATCCAATTTCCAGAAGAAATGCATCGTCGCTCAGCTTGGATGTGATGTCGATGATAGCGTCCCCCAGATTAGCCTTAAGGGCAAGTCTGGATTCTCCGTTAAGACTTTTGAGGTAACTGCTGAGGTCAAAGTCGATGTTACCTTCGCCTACGACATGCCTGATGGCTCCATTTGCAAGGACGTCCAAACATGTGGACCTGAGGGCACCGTCATCCGCAACACCCAGTGTGGTGGTGCCACCGCCATTCGTTTCTTCCTCCCAACATACAACAAAGTCAAGGTCTGCAAGATCGCTATTCACAAAATCGAGTTCAACTGTGGTCCACCATCTATGCCACCAACCATCTCTCTCCCTGCACCACCACAGCAGACCAGCACCGTCAACCCGTCTCAATCTGTTCCAGTTCCCCCATACCCAACTGGCCCTATCCCTACTGGCGGTATTCCAACCGGTGGTATCCCAACTGGTGGTATCCCAACCGGCGGTGTTCCTACCGGCCCAGCCCCAACTGGCCCAGCTCCTTCTTTGACGACTTCCACCGTTTACAGCACTTCCCAAATTACCATCACCAGCTGCGGCCCTGAAGTCACCAACTGCCCTGCCAGCTCCACCGTTGTTGTCACCACCGAGATCCCAATCTCTACTACTGTCTGCCCAGTTACTGACACTGAACCCGTCCCTGTTCCTACCGATGAGCCAAGCTCAAGCCAATCTGGTGGTATTCCCGGCGAGACCCCAGTTCCAACCACCGAAGTTCCAGGCTCAAGCCAGTCCGGTGGTATCCCCGGCCAAACTGGTATCCCATCTGAGACTGTCAACCCAACTGAAAGCACTCCAGCTCCTACTGCCCCTGCCCCCACCACCATAGTTACCTCATCTACTTCCACCGTATACAGCACTTCTGAGATGACTGTGACCAGCTGTGCCCCTGGTGCTCCAAGCTGCCCATCTGACTCTACTGTCATTGTCACCTCCATCATACCAATTTCCACCACTATCTGCCCAGTTACCCTGACCCAGACTGGTGGTGTCCCAGTTCCAACTGACGCTACTCCAGTTCCAAGTGGAGGTGTCCCAACCGAGACAGGCGTCCCAGTTCCAACAGGCGGTGCTCCAGGATCTACTTCTGGTGTTGAGCCAACTGAGAGCACTCCTGGCGCCCCCGTCCCAGTTCCAACCACCTATGTTACTGAGTCCACCTCGACCGTTTACACTACTTCCATGGTTACTATTACTAGCTGCCCACCAGGAACCCCCGACTGCCCTGCTGGTTCTACCGCCATTGTTACTTCTACCATTGCTATCTCCACCACCATCTGCCCAGTTACCTTGACTCAGACCGGTGGTGTCCCGGTTCCAACTGATGGTGTTCCAGTGCCAACCGAGGGTGTCCCTGTCCCAACTGGCGGTGCTCCAGGTTCCACTTCTGGTGTCGAGCCAACCCAGAGCACTCCTGGAGCCCCTGCCTCATCTGGCCCTGCCCCCACTGGATCTGTCCCTGCTCCAGGTGCCCCAGCTCCTCAGCCACCAGCTCCATGCCCACCTGTCGTTCCTAAGTGCTTGAACACCTGGATTACCATCCCCAAGTGCAGCTCTAACAGCGACATCAGCTGCTTCTGCCCATCCTCTGAGTTCACCGACAAGGTCATCCAGTGTATCCGAGCCTGGGGATCTTCTGAAGCTGAGGTCCAGTCCGCTCTTACTTACTTCACTGCCATCTGTGCTGCACACATTCCCAAGAACCCTGGTATCGTTACTGCCATCCCACCAAGCATCACTCTCGGCCCAGCTCCTCCAACCTCTGTCCCCGGTGGCCCAGCTCCTACTACTATGCCACAGACCACCATTGAGGTCCCACATATCATCACTGATACCAACGGCGGCGTCACTAGCACTAGCACTACTATCACCATCCCACAGATTAGTTTCACCACTGGAACCGGCCCTAACCCAAGTGTCATCTTGGCTCCTGGCCCAGCTCCTGCCACTACCACCACTGATGGCGGTGTCTCCCCAACCCAGGTCCCCGGTAGCCAGGCTCCTGGTGGCTCTCCACCATACGCCAGCACTGGCTTCATGACCATTTCCCAGACCGGTGCTATACCACGCCCCACTTCTACCACCGAGCCCTACATCGGTGCTGCTTCTAGCCTGGAGGCCCTCTCCTCTCGATGGATCATGATGGGTATGACCGCTATTGTCGGCATGCTTCAGTTCGCTCTCTAGATACCTAATCCTTAGAGGTATATAATTGCCTGGCGCAACTCGCCAATTCTCTATTATATGTTCACTACTCTCTCTCTATCTCATGTCTTTGTCAATGTCTTGTTTTTCCTTTTTTTTTTTTGGCCTAGCTCGACCTTTAATAGTTCTATTTGTCTTACTAGGCGACTCTGCTTACTGAGCCCAAAATAACATTCCTTTTCTTTATTCCCGTCTCTGGTCTCGATTTCCGGGATTCCTGATTGAGTTCCTGTTTCATGCATTTAGTCTACTGGAAGAAGACAACAGCCATGACAATACGTTTCAGTTTGTACATTAAATCAACGTTATTTTATAAAATTTAGAGTTCTATGTCTTTGTGCTTCATCTACGGGCTTTTTTAGTCGGGGTTAACTGTTCGTATTCTGTATTAAAACCTCTGAATATAAGTTTCCTAAACTTAATTTCACTAGCGCCAGGCAACATATAAATCACCCCCTCAATACTCCTAAACATAAGACATCGCGTTTGACAGCATCGATACTCTCCCCTTCGCCACGATGCAAGCACTATTCCCCCAGTTCGGGAAGCTCCCGGTGGAACTGCAGGTAATGATCTGGGAAGCAGCCTACCATCTATCAGCGCCGCAAGTTATCGAAGCCAACGCAAAACGAAGATACACAGGGATCATGGAGGCCAACGAAGTGGAGTATGATGAGAATGGCGAAGCCAAGGACAAGAGTGGAAACAGACGGATAGGTGACTATTCATGGATCAGAAAGCCCTACTCGCATGGCTATCGTGTGGTGTTTCCTTGGGCGAGGACACAAGTGTCTGCTCCAGGCATACTCGCTGCGTGCTCGGGATCGCGTGAAGTCGCTCTCCGGCTTGGTGGTTTCTCGACAGTCTGGTTCCATCATTCCCAGGAGACTCCCCAGAAAATCTGGTTTAATTTCTCGTCTGATATTGTGTTCCTGAATGAGGTATACGCAGATGTGCATAACAGAGAGTGGTCACTCATAGGCAACCGGGGTAGCTGCACACGCATTAGGCATCTTGCGGTGGAGTGGTCTTTGTTTCATCACACATACTCTTTCCGTTACGAGAGCGAACGACACCGCTGGATATACACTGTTAGCAATTTGTGCATGCGTTTTCCTGTGCTAACAGACCTGTATATCTTCGTCCCCGCCGTTCGAAATAAGCGGAATTTGTTCTACGCCAAATCCGACGTACATCCTGAGGAGCCGATGCCTTGCGAAGGGCTTCCTATCATACTCAAGCCGGTAAAAAAAGCTGTTTCTGAAGAAGTGGAACTCCCAGAATGCTACTGTCCTAGGGGAGATCCCAACAAGCCAACGAACTTGAGGGAAACAATCACTGAAGTCGAAACGAATTTCAACTCTGAATGGCTAAGGAAAGGCGTGCAAGAGGAGACTGGGCACCGTCCGATGCCAAACTTCCCGCCGCGTATTCACCCAAGGTTATTTCTGCGGAAAGGATTAAAGCCGGACGATGTTCGAAATGAAGATTCGGAAGAGTGAGAGGGGTTGGGAATACCAAGTGGAGCTATTGATCCAAATGTCTACAGGTATGCTGGGTCATAAATTGACGAGAGACTCCTTCGGCTCTATGGCGGGGAGGATATACAACGTCGTCTTCCTTAAAGCGTCTTACCTACTGAAAGACTGTTATATATGCTTAGTCACCATATAAACACCTTCACGTGACTGACCTTATTTCCACGACTTCGTCTTTATCAAAATGCCAGAATATAAAAAACACATCAGGACAGGGTGTAGTGTTATACGCTCATACTCAACGATATACAAAGCCTATATGACAAGGTAATAAGCTTCTGACTGTGTGTATCCAACACATGATATGAAAGGACTAGCCAAAGACAAACACCCTTGTCTCAATGCTATCGCGGCCCTTTGCTCCAACCGGAATTCGAGGGTCAATGAACGACGAATGTGCCACTCTCTTTGCTACTGCGTCCTCCTTGTTGTCTATAATCATGAATAGCAACCTGTCTTCATTTGTCATTCTGGACCAATAGTACCATTTATGCGCTGGGTTGTATTTGAGCATCTGGGTCTCACTACTATATTCGGGATAGCGAAGTTCAATGCGCACTAGGTCGTCATCCGGCACCGATGATGGTAAAGCAACAGCCAATGGGTTTGATTGGACGGGCCCGTTTATTGGCCGCCAGACGTTGAGGACCCGATATCGATCTTTGAGAAGCTCTGCTACTTCCTCTGGTGGGAAAAAGAGGCCCATGGCTGCCTGGGTGGACAGAGGCGTTTGGTCCACATGAGCGCTGGTTATTGGAAAGTTGTCAGCGCCTGGTTTGGAGAGGCGGACAATATGATTGAATACAAATACTCGTTTGGCATCGGGTATGAGGTTACGGACGAATTCCTCGACTTCGGGATACCAGACAGACTTGATGTTTTCCTCATCAGTAAAAGAAGGGTCTGCAGCTGATGGGACATTTGGTATTCCTTGAAAGCCATCTCTCTCAAGCAAGTATTCTGACTCGTGGCCACGGATGTCGGTTATAGAAATCTTATGGAAGTTCAGGGGGTAGTTGGGCTTTGTTCCACTCTTCAAATGTCCCTCCATGAGGTTGAATGGTGCCGATCCATCTTCGGGGTAGTCAAAGAATTGCATAGATGCCTCGACATCGCCACGGGGTATAAAATCGGCATCGTTCTCGAGAACAACCTTCGTATCGGGTGTGGTGGTGGTGGTGGCGGTAGCGGACATGGCCAATTATGCAGGTGAGTAGCGGTCAAGGCAAAGAGAGCACCAGTTAACAAGGAATTGAAGTATTGCTGTTCGGAGTTGAAGACCAAAATCTGGTGGAACGAGAGTGAATAGATGCCCTACATATATACATTCTTCCTGTCGCTATACCTCGTCTATCTACCAGCGTACCCGGCCGCTTTACGGATATCCAATAGGCAGACATTCATACTGGCTTACTGGCCGCATTAAGAAACACCCATGCGCTTCGCATGTGCACATGCCAAGAAGTGACTCTGCATCGATACTCAATAGTTGTATGCACGATATATATCGATATTTATGTTGGTGACTGTCGGAAGTCCGGGGTACGAGTACAGGGTTATGTACGGAGTACACAAGCCAATATAAATCAGACATCAATGAAATTAACTAACAGGGTTCTTGCAGAACCAGAGTACACGTACAAAGGCAAACGGAAGATACAGTCAACCCGAGAAACGACAAAAGAATGTTTTTGATAAAACTCATGCAGGTTATTACGCCAAAAGAGACACAAGACTGATCGCTTAAGCAAAGGGGTCGAACGCCAACACTGGAGGCAAGTGTAACGACCCCCTTTGCCCTTTAATAACAATAATCGCCCATCGTGTGATTTGCTATGCCGCATGGCTCCCATGTACAATGCAGGTGAAGCCAATGTTCTACCCAACCGCGCTCTTGTACATGCCCACGGCCAAAATTCAAAAAAAAAAAAAAAAGCAAGAAAGAATGGGGGAGCCAATGAAATGAAAAGAGATTTCCGCCTGTAGTGAGAATGTTTGTGCAACGCCTATATCACTTGAATTATGCCACCAGCCCATTGAGAAAGAAAGAAAAGAGAAGAAAAAACACCTATGATTATACCCGTCCGTTCGATCGTCGAGCAACCCTACGGAATCATGACTTTCGAGGGGCTGCCCGGACAAGATGAACGTCCATGGTGGGAGGGAAGTCTGGATGCAACGAGCCTATTCTTGGCGGGTTGGAATGGCGAGTAGGTTGCTCATCATCTGTACCCATAAGAGTAGTCAACAAGTTGTTGATCAAACGGTTATCGGCCCATCCTGGGGGTTTTGTGTTGCTCAGTCGCTCGATACGTGCTAGGTCGTCCTCAATCTCTTCCGGCATGAGAGCGGGTGGGGTGGGGGCACTCGATGATCCGTTCGGTCGCTGGTGATAGCTACCAAGGATATAGTATGGAAGGTTTGTGCGAGTAGAGTTCTTTTCCGTTAATTCTCCGAGAAGGTTTAGGGCACCGGTGCCATTGGTGCGTGTCGAGCGAGTTGCGTGTACGTTCTGACTAGCTGAGCGTTCCATTTCGGCTGCCCCAGGTGTGGCATCTTCCTGGCTACTTGCATCGCCAGAGCCTGGTATGTCATCCTTGTCGATAGACTGTCCGTTTGCGTTCTGGCTTGCTTGTTTGGCACGTTTAGAAGCAGAGAGAAAGTGGACTGCGGCCACGTGAGCGGCATTGCTATGCATTGCCAACTCCTTCTCAGTAAATAGGGATAGGATGCTGTATGCTGCTGCGTTTTGTTGCTGAGACATCCTTGACTTTGCCCGGTCTGCAGGAGTCGAAAGCCCCTCGGGGTTAGGAGAAGCGCCAAATTCTTCATCTATAGCCTTTCTCTTCCGTTTATTAATCGGCTCGCTGATAATTCCGCCACCAATGTCGTCCGCATCGATCCTATGTCGCGTGTGTCTCGTCTTCCGATTGCCCTGGATACCACCGGGGCTACCCGGATTGGCTATACTGAACTGATTGGGGTGTAGAAGCAACGCATTAGTATCAGCAACATCCAGCTGCTCTTTCTCTCGCATAAGGCGGTTTTTTCGGTGGGAGACTGATTGAACTAGTCGTTCGCGGATGGTTTCCGTGAGTCTCTTGCACTCCTCGGCGGCGAGCTGGATTCGAAAATCACGTTCTTGTTTAATTCGGTTTAAACAGTCACGATGTCGGTTCTATAAAACGGCCAGGCGTCAGAAAGCGGCACCACTACATGATAATACCCAATCAAAGCGAAAAAAGTGATTCATGTTGGTGGAACTTACCATCATAACAGTTAATTCTGCATCTCTCTCTTCCTTACTCCGGTTTATCTCCTGAACAAAGTTGGAATACCATCTCCCGGAGATAGGGGTGTCGGAAGTAATCTGCCCATTGGCAGCCAACTGTGTCAACTGCTTCGCAACGTCCTCTGGCGAGTCACTGATGGGCCAGTCTTCATAGATCTGAGCGTTAGAGATCAACGCCATCTCATTCTGAAGTTCATGCACCCTCTGTCGGAAGTGATAGTCTCTGTTGTTCCCAAAGGCTTCCTTCAACTCGTTAACTCTATCCTGGAGGGCATTTCGTCGTTTATCTCGCTTGGAAAGTGGAAATTGGCCCGGTGGCGGGGTATCGGTGTAACGAGCTGTCGAGGGCCCGGCAGCGGCCATGGGCGATGCCGGAGCAGCTGCAGGATATGCCATCGCCTGTACGTTGTCGGTTCTTCCGCCGTAGGACTAAACGCTCGTTTACGATAAGCGTCAAAATACTTTTTGCAGGTATGAGAAGGATGGACTATCGAGACAAACACAAATGTTAGCGAAATAACTCCAGAATCAAATATATGATGGTGCCATGCAGAAGGGGAGGCACTGGGTAGAGAGCTATATTGAAAGAAGAGGAGAAAATCTCACCTGTCTGGTCCACCGGTCAACACCAAGGGGGAAAAAAAATCTTTTCAGATCGCGGGAATAGTCAAGTAACGAGATAGTGAGGTATCACACTCTCAGTATGAACATATACGCTGCTATAGTCTTTCAACCAGCTATAGGATCTCACTTGAGGTTAAGACCAGGCTTGACAGATGCGGAATTGAGATTAGCGACGCAGAGCGTAGTCGCGGAGGTCCCGCGGCTCGTCTGGAGGTATTTATCTTTGGGAGCTAGTAACCTCTGAGGGGAAGAAGCATGTGAGGGCATATAATATCAGTATAATACCGTTTGGATGAGAATGGAGAAGCTTGCGAAGTCGAGAGGAAGAGGGAGGGCGGAAAGTGAGGCGCAACTGGGGCGTTTGACTTGCTAGCGGCTGGTCGAGGGAGGAAAAAGAGAAACAAACAGATCTGGAGCCTGTGAATCAAAGAACATAAGAGGTGACTGGAGACTCAAAGGAAGAGATTTCCAGGCTCGATGGACTGTAAAACATTGTCTGACGAGAATGTTTTCTTTGCTTCGGCTTCATCCAACAAAGTCGGCGTTTTCTTTCTTTTGCGCTCAGCGTGATGTCACCGGATAATTATTATCCCGGATACAGTCACGTGTGCCTAGTTACTTTGATGTTGAGTTGATATTATTATTATAGGATCCAGGTAGGAGGAATAGCGAGTATATAGGAGTGTAGATATGCTTGGAATAAAGGGCGTCTTCCTACAGAAAGCTAACAGAGGATGGCTCGGTCTATTGTTGTATATCTTTGATAGGGTAGCCCATTGTTGCAGTATATTGCGAACGTCTCATTTGCCTATGTATACACGATAAAGGAACGAAGTCGTTGCTTTTTATTCTTCGTAGGCCCTTTGATTTCAGTGACTGATCATCGTATGGATACATGCACTATTGTGAAAGGACCACAGTCCGTTCAAACCTCGGAGAAAGTGCCCCAAGGAGTCCCATCCTTGAACATTGCATGGCATGGCTAAGAGAACGGATATGCCCCCATCAACATCACCATCTTATGACGAACTCACGGCATGAGTATCTTCCAGCTTCAACGAAGAGACGAACCCCTTTTTTCCATTTTGATACTTTTTGATACTTTCACATAAAAATGTTGCGGTATGAGGTTCCCGATTAGTGTATGCCTTTCTGGTTGCGGCGTACAATTCCGATAGAGCAACCCATACGCTGCCTGGCTTACCACATGAATATGCATTGTTTTCGGCCCCTAATATTTAAATTCAGCTATGGATAGCTAAGTTAGACTAATCTAGATAGTGAACTCCTCATAGTCTTTGACTGCATAGGAGTATAATGAAGAAGAGGAAGAATAATAATAATGCATTGTTTTGATGGTGCCCCATCTAGTCACGTGTCAAGGCTCTCTACGCGCTAGTTATGAAGGCGGCGACGGCCCGTGCGAGTTTGTGCACAAAGTTATTAATCCGCATATAAAGAAAGCATGGCGATAAGTTGACCAGCTCGCTACAAGCTTACAGCAGGCACTCTCTCATTACAACCCTTATAACTCAGGAAACACCGCTCCAAGCGGCCGCTTTCGAATGCTATGCTGAGATTGCCGCGCAGTTTGAAGACAATCTCAAGCGCAGTATCAGAAGATCACCGGAATAATATTAATATGTTGCCCTTTGCTCTAGTCCTTACCTAGAGGCTTTCATACCCTTCACTATCTCCGCACACTGCAACGACATATATAATGGAATCCCTAACTCCAGAAGGTACTATACAGCCAACCGCTAGTACGGAGCTTCTAATACTAACTCGAGTTTATTAGATGGCTACGGTCAGGAATGCGGATACCCTATGGCCAAAGGGATGCATCCTATTCGTTTGGACGAGAACCGTGTTTTAAAAACAAAACTGTTAGATACTGGAGAGGCTCAGGCAATGGAGTTTATTGCTAAGGCTACAACTATCCCCGTCCCGAAGGTTTTTGAGGCGAAAGTTTTTGAGGCAAGGTATATCGGGAAGAAGCGGGGAGAACGGTTTTGTATTGTGATGGAATATATACCCGGAAAACCATTAAACGTTATATGGAATGATCTAAGCGATAACCAGAAGATAAATATCTGTCTTCAAATCGACGGATATCTCGCTCAACTCCGGAAGCTTACTGGGGATCGAATTATGGCGGCAGATAGTGGTGCCCTAGATGTAGGGCTTTACGAAAAGCGCTTTTTGGGACCGTTCGACAGTGTAAAGGAGTTCCATCACGCCTTGGGTAAAGGTGAGTCGAATAACTTGGGTGATGGCCATGGTATTCATTTTGCCCATGCCGATCTGGCCCCTCGGAACATTCTGGTTGATGAGAACACCGGCCGGATTAATGCAGTTATTGATTGGGAACGGGCAGGATGGTATCCAGAATATTGGGACTTTGTCCGGATGGACTACGACCGGCCGCTAAAGCGCGAGATGGGCGGCTATACTAAGCTTTGGAAGTCCCTTTTCACTCGCTTATATGAAGATGAAAGTTCTGCAATGCAGGATTTGGTTAGACGAACGGTAGTTCCATATCCAGATGGAACCCCGATGGAACCGCGTCCTGATATATTACCGTCGTATGCCTCCCGTGCGAAGGAGTTACGGGAGACTTTTGAAAGGAATACTTAACCTATAGCTTTACTAACTAGTTATAGACTATTTGAAAATGAACAACTCTTTAACCAGCCATAAGAAACCGTCTACCACTATCGATCGTCCAAGACCTTTTATATATTGAAAGAGCGAAGGCTCGTAGGCTAATTCCACATTCTGGTATTTCGCACGGGGGGAGGAAAGCCCCCTTTCAGCATCCATTCGCCAGTACAAGCTGGTTCTAGTTGAAATACAACAGCTTTCGCAGTTTTATCTGACGTTTTGCCGAGACCATCCCAGGAATGTAGAAATAATATGACGGGCTGTCTGCGGAGGGTATCATTTGCTTATAGAGCCAACTTACCATTTCGATCATTTAGTAGTGGATGGCTCTAATAGACTGTTTCTCACCAGGGTGCCTGTCAAGGCTTGACGGTGGGTCTATCGAAGACATCCCAAATACCAGCCATTAATATAACGAGATGGATATATTATTCTAAACTTAGAATTAAAAGGGGGTATTCAGCAAGCGTGTTCAAGGAAGATAGGGCGTTCAAGGAAGACCGCAAGGCAAGAGAAAAGAGAAGAGACATAAGAGATAGCCATAGAGAAAAGGAAATGGAACATTTTTCCGTAACGCCCTTATCCAAGCTCGTTTTCTGTACCTCATTACAAATAAAAGGGGAAAAGGGAAGAACAAGATAGCAGAGAAGACTATGCATGCATGCATAGTATATGCCAAGATGATAATGATGGGAAATAAAGTAGATAGGGCAAAAAGGAAACTCCTGATAAATATCCTGACAATTGACTCCGTTTTCGTGTGGTGCTGCGCTGTTGACCCTTTGTTATTTTTTTTCTCATTTGATAGAATAGCCGAACCGAACCGGACCCGAACCTGGTGTATGTATGTTAAAGACCTAAAACTCCTCCTCTTGGAAAGAAAATCCATTTGTCATGTGCCTACTGTCAGTTATCACTCCGGCGATTGTGATCGTCGGATAACGAAGACACCGACTTCAACGCCTTCTCGCTCGGCATCGTCCACGGGTTCGGTCAATGCTCGTTTGCGGATGCCATCTACCACATCTCTGAGGACCATGGCACTGGTAACTTCTCTGTCCATTCCCATTCCTTTGCTGGCGTTGTGGTGGCGTGTGCGATGATCGTTACGCCAGTATTCATCTAATATCTCCCGGGCACGGGGCGTTTCTTGTGCAATGTACCATTCTGTCCAGAGGGCGCGGGAGAGGGGAATGCAGCCTGCAGATGCGTAGGAGAGGGTGAAGGTTGTGCGGTCGCGTGATGTAAGAGAGGAGCATAGGTGGGTGACCTTGGAGTGCATTGTTTCGAAGGGATCCATGTGTCTGAGAGCAGGCGTGGAGCTAAGGGCTGTGCCAATATCGGCAGGCAGACCGTTGAGAACGACCTGCTGGCGTAGTAGAGGGTCGAGAATAGGGTTGAGATAATGCTGCTTGAAACATTGAGCGCCGCGAAGAGTCGGGTATACCAGCAAGAGAGTACCGTCGCGAGGAGAAAGTTCTCGAAGGCGATCTAGAAGAACGGAAGGGCCGCTTGTGGAGAAGAGGTTTTGGTATTCGCAGGTAGAGGTCGGTGGGAGGTAGCGCTCGACAGCAGCGATGTTGACGCTATAGGGAGGAACAATGGGCGTGGGCACGTACGGCGCTGGTGCTCCGCTGGATGAAGAAGAGGCACTGGCAAAGGGATAGTGTGGTGCAGCCGTGGCGTTGGAGAAGACGGTCATATTAAAGTAATCGTCACCGGGAAAGAGGCGATTGGGTGTGCTAGGTGGAGACGTGGGTAGACTGGAGAGTGAGAACTTAGGTGGTACTGCATGTGTGATGTTGATATAGGGTGACTGGTCTGGTTGGAGACGTGACTGGATCGTCTGGACGATGGGGCTGAAGACGCAGGCAGGCGAGAGAGAACCCGAGTTGGAAAGGCTATTGGACGGCGGACATGGCAAGGTTTGAGAGACGAGTTGGACGACCTTTGCAGGGTCTTTGGATATTGCAAGAGATGACACTATTGCCCAAGTTAGGAATCGCTGTCAGGACAGAGTCTTCGGAGAGAGGGTAGTTGGTGGTTCGATAGCCTTACCAGCAGTCAAGATACCCCTTTGCAGGAAGAGCTGCCTGCCATTCTCACCCTGCGGTGGCCTACTCGGCAACGAAGAATCATCGCCGTTTTCTGTGTTCTGGGCCGATTCCTGCTGTGGTGGTTTAGGTGTGCAGCTAGACTCGGTTTCTTCTTTCATGGCCACTTCCGCAGCCTCGGAGGACTCCGTCTCGCTGGGAACTGTATCACTCGACTCATTACTCACAGCAGGATTCCATTGAACGTGGTCGTCAGATTCAGGCGGCGTGATTGGTAGTGGAGACGGATATGAGACGTCCATTCGCGAGTTTGGAGAGTCAGCGAAGGGAGTAGAGGTCTTCGACGGTGAGGCTGCTATCGATCCGTCGACATACGAACCAGACGGAGAGGAAGATGGTCTCTCCTGAGCCCTGGTCATGCTGTTTGGTGACGGCGTGGCTATCCCCAGCTCCTCGAAGGAGGGCAGCTGAAGCTGTCTGTTCTGTTTGGGTAGAAACTGCATGGTCGATGAAGAATGGGCAGAAGACGGGGAATACTGGTCTAGATCGTGGCCTAGGCCGTCCGATGATATGCTTCTCCGGATTCGTTTGGGAGGCAGCGGGAAAAAGTTCGTGGCCTTGTCCGTGCCCTGTGTGAAGGTGTAGCGTGACCTTGGCTTTGGGGAGTTTCGACGGCTTGAGTGATATTGCTGTTGAAGATGAACGCTGCTCTCTGGTAAGGTTCGTTCACATGATACGCTACGACGGCTCTGGCTAGGTTGCCGCAGACGACCGGCGAAAGGGAAGGGCAAAACGAGGCAGGGTGAAGATCCGATATCGATGTCTATCTTGTCGTGGCCGCAATTTCTCATGTTCGTATTACCATCTGCGTGGAGGGCCGGCCGAGACAGAGGGTCATTCTTCTGCTGGAGCATTCACAATGGTAGCCGTAGTAATTTAGAGGCAGCTAGGAGATGGAGTGAGATGGATCCTATGGCGAGAGACCGTCTGAAACAGTGACCAGGCAGACGACAACACACAAGAGAGGCAGCGATGAAGCAGTCAAAGATTGGGCCTTTCTTGGGTAGATCGGGTCAGACAGAGAGATTGACAATGCAGCTGGAACGAGATCAGCGATGTGTATCTCATTGGCGTCCGGTAATGGCTGAGCCCTTACGGACGGCGTCAGTCAGCTTCTGTCTCTCTCTCGAGCAAGGCAGAGAGAGAGAGAGCAACTCTCCTGTATGCACGATATCCTGAGAGAACCAGACTTGTGGCCGGCAGAGCAGACCCGGGCAGAGCCAGAGACCACCGTCAAGCAAGAGAGAAACCACCTAAGGGGGGGGGCCAGAGAGGAGGGTGTGCGAAGAGATGTCGTCCGTTCATACATCAAGAGAATGAAGAACTGGAGATGGAGAAGGGGAGAAAAAAGGTGGAGGGGAGGCGTAACTAAAAAAGCACAAGCCGTACGGAAAATACGACGGCTGCGGCCCCAGTTCGCCCGCGCCCATGCGTAACTTTGGGTAACTTTGGTATGCAGGATACCGGGCGCCCAAGGGAAAAGGTCTGGGCCTGGCGATATAAAGAAGGCGCTTCGGCGGGCCCAGGCTCGGTGGTTGGCGGCCGGGCCATAGGACCGAGGTACCTTTGCACTGAATTTTGGTGACAGGGTACTTCTTGTCGATGTCCGGCCTGCCATATATATATAGTGATAGTTTAAAGAGGTCGGATGGGTTGGCGGTGGTGGTGATGACGATGCCGATGCAGATAGTTGTTGTCGACGTCGATAGTGATGCTGAAGTGAAAGGCAGCCAGGGGGCCCATAGCTCCACAGTCTGGCCCTTTCTGGAGTTGGCATTCGTTTCGCCACTATCCAGGCATCGGTCTGTTGCTTTTTTTTCTTTTCCTGGACCTGGATCGTTTCTCTGGCCAGCGAGCAAGAAGCCTCGTGGGCAACCCAAGGAGACGTCCGATAGCCCCGTCAGCCTTTTTGTTTTAAATCCCTACTTACGGGATTCACACGAGACCTGGTCTTTCCTCTCTTTCCCATCCCTCAGGCGAGCTGCCCGTTCGTTCCGCCTCAAATCGCTTGTTTCGGCCTCTTATGTTCTGCCCTGTCGTGGCTGGGTAGCATGTACATATGCCGGTAAGTATCGTGTACGTCTCAGGAATGCGTCTGTGCTATACACTAGTGGTGTGCAGCCGTGGGCCATGGTGGATTGCAGATCCAAGGACAGTCACCCAAGCTGCTCCACGTCACACAGCTCCCCTTCTTTGATGTCCCCGTAGTCTAGCTGCCAGGCAGCGAGGAAAAAAAGCGCACACATCATCTTTCCAGCTTGGACTGGCCTTGACGTCTGTCAGACGGAAGACGGCAGCTTGTAGTTCTTTTTTTTTTTTTTTTGGCGAACGTTCAATCGTCGACTAATTATTCAACCTTTTTTTTTATTTCCCTCGTCTTTGGAAGAAAGTTCATCCAGGTTCTCGATCCCTCTTCAACTTTAGGAGGGCGATGGGCGGGCGATGGCGAACAGCCAGCCAAGGAACGCCAACTTCTGGGCCGCTCCTTTTACTATATATGGGTTCTCGAGAAAACTAGATCAACTGACTCTTTTGGCTCTCCCCCTTTCGTGTTTGGTACGGGGGACCGTAGTTTCGTAATCGAATCATCCCATGCTGGCCGGATACGGATAGTTCATGGTCATAGAACGGAGTGCTCCGTGGTCTTCTCATGCCCCCATCTGACGCAATTAGCATGCTCGTCACTAAAATAGACGATGATCCATCGATGACTTACATCGTGATTGTCTATCGTACGCCGCACAGAGCATGGGGAGGGAGGATCGCGCCAGTTCATCCTAGCTTATAGTCAGCCATGTTAACCCCATAAGCAGATAGTTATATAATTACTGGGCCCTGCTCTCTTTCTCCGCAAATAAAAGGCCCTGCCCGAAAAACGTTGCCTCGCGCCAGGGGATAGGCGCCATTAACGGAATCCACATTTAAAAGAAATGGGAAGTGGGTGCCCAGGCATACGAGTGTGGAGAACCACATATATCTCCTAGACCTGTGGCTAGATGGCCGTAGTTTCTACATAGTTAGCTCCCTCATCGTCCTAGATCCAGCAATCTTTGGGTAGCGGCCGCGGTAGGCGTAGATATATATATATTCCCATCCCCTGGTTCGCACTCTATACCCAGGCCAGAGGGACGAGCACTCTCCGCATCAACTCCGCAACGCCATGCCGCGAGCAAGTCATGTATGTACCTCGCCATGTACCTTGTACTTCTACCCAGCAGCTCGGGGGCAATCGTCTGCTCCCTAGCTAGCTCCCCTTTTTTTTTTTTTGTCCCAGCCCAGCTGTAGGTGTAATGTGATCTGTTAAATATGCACCATTCATCATCGAGCTGAGACCCCCAAACACATGATTCAAACGATCAACGTATGCGGTATTGTATCATGTATAATGCGCGGTATGCTATGCGAGGTGTTGCCATTGAGGCCAGCCACGCATGTTCGCGTTGATTCCGTCGGTAAAGAGTCAGCTGGAGTTGGACGATGGCGCTGGGCATGGCGTTTCAATGTAGGCGAGCTAGACGTGAGGTACCGATCGATGGCGATGTTGTCCTGGTGGAGAATGCGACTTCGAGCTGTCTGGGCCATCCGCAACATAAGCTTCATTATTGAGTTCTGTTCTGAGTAGCTTATATCTTTGTCCTTAGTTGGTGGCGTTGTTAGGGATTGTGCCTTGATATTGAGATGTTACTAGTTTACTAGTGAGGCTGGCTGGGGGCTTTGCTGGAGATGATACACCTTTTGCCGTTTGTGGCCTCCACAGCCACCTCTTCCTCCTCTTCTTTTCATCCCTATCACTTCTTCTCTGCTCCTGGCTAACATTGAAACTGATAAAACAGAGCATTAAGCCACTGGGATTTACCCTCAGCCACTCTCTCTCCTCCTGGCGAATCCGGTATGCAACCACTAGCTTCACAAGGGAACATCCACGGGAAAAGGAATATATTCTTCCTATTTTCCCTCTTCATGCGGGATACAGAACGCGGGATAACGAACGATCTGCTCTCAGGATTGACTAAGGTATGGCGTATTGATGTGAACGCCAAAGATGAAACCCCCCGGAGAATGGTCGCCGCCGGCTCAGTTGGTCTACTGCGATATCCATATCCAATATGTGGACTTGAGGCAGGACGCCTCCGAAGCACAAAGCGGAACATCTTGCTGCCTGGTTCCATGGGAGGAGCAGATGATATCCTGGTTACCCTATCTTATCCGGCAAATGCATGCAGCTTATGATAAAGGCAGCTGGAGACGGTCTAGGGCATCCTCCTAAGCTGGGCATTCCATGGCAGATAGGCTTGATATTGCTGATTTGATAATAAGTTGCATGTGAATGTCGGTTCGATGGGATGGTTTCGTAATGTGCTACAATGAAATATCTCAATAGATACCCCTTTTCATCCCATCGGTATGGGATAAAACAATACCCTAGCTACGATACCAGCTATTATTCCAATCGATACCATGCCAAGGAGCATGTTACATGTTATACCTTTGTTGGAATAGGCCAGTGATGTTGACAGCACTTCGGAAGGTATACACAAATACCCCGATTTAATAAATGTCCAGGATGAAACTTATGGTCATCATCTCACTTCCTAGCACATGTCATCATATACCCTTGACGACCTTTCCTGGTAGTTATTCCTAGGTGTTTAACTGGTCTTCTATGATCAAAGGTTCAACAATCTTCATCAAAGGGTTGGTAGAAAGTTATATGATAGTAGCTTGCTACAGTTGCTACTATTACAGATTCCACAGTTATGTCTTCACCAGCTTCGTTTTTTTTCCTAGCACAGATTTGAAGTGGATATCCCGAGGTAAGGATTGCACATAACCGTTGCCAACGGCCTACTTGCCCCAATCTTTCGAGGCCAGGTTGACCTTTATTTATAAATCTGCACAGTGACAGTTCAATCTGAACCATATGTATATCATACTCAGAGTTTTGTACTCAAAATATAGATGTTGATCGATGGCTCTGCTTCCCAGTCACAATCAAATGCAGTTAAAAAGGAGGATAGCTTTAGTCGATACTCTTCTTTGATCCAACAAGATAAATCTTACTATGGTATGCCAATATGGCAACGAGAAGGACAATATGTCTTCATGCCAGCTGGGGGTAACCTACAATAGATCCATATAGTGCATACTGTTACGCCCTTACATCCGGGACCCCGCCTATGGCCTCTGGGGCTGGGAGGTTATCATGCCTCAATAGCTACAGTTGGATACCACGAAGAGTGTCATGGTAACGATCTATATCAATTTCAGGCAAAAGAGCACAAATATACAATTCTAACGAGCGATTTCGTTTATCCATAACCTTCACGCCCAGCGCCAAACTGAACCCGAGATGTAAACCCATGCACCTGACCCTATGCTGCAACCGCCATTTTCCTGCTATGTCTCCGCGGGATAAAGCCCTGCCCCCCGTTGCGCGGTAGTAGTCGAGAGCGGGACTGATTCTTTCGCGCCATCAGAACGAGCTCCTCCCATTTCTCATGCTCAATAATTTTCGTGGGCATGAAAAGGGGGTGAGGTGTGTCTTCAACATGGATTCGAGGCCGCCCATCAGCGGTGACACCGGGGCCATAGTTCAGGGTCCTATGTGGGATCTTATAGCCCGCATCGCGTATTTCAAAGCACTGATGGACGAGCTCCCGCGCACTCAAATCCATATAGACGGACCGATCATAAATTTCCGACCAGTAATCACAGCCCCAGAACTTGTCTTCCACGACGGCACTCGCAAGTGCGCCTAGCCAGAAGCTGAAATTTGGCAGTTGCATGCAGGGCTTCACGAGCCCGACGAGAACCATCCAGTTGGAAACGCGACAGGCAACGGCTACGATGCGGATCAACGGCTCAGAATGGAAGATGTGAAGGACAACGCAAGCAGGACAACCGTTTGTCGCACACCAGTCCGGCTCATCAGTGATTATAGAGCTGAGCCATGCAAAAGCGTTTCGTGCTCCACCATGGAAGGCTCTCTCTGGGTCTGATGATAGGTGGTCTGGGAGCGAACGGGATGCTAGATTGGTAGCATGGAGTAGGAGCTGTTTCAAGGGCATAAAGGCAGCATGAAGTATGTCTCGATGAAGTTCGAATTCTCTCTTGTCATCGGCTGTAACACTGAGCTCATGTGCAGGACAGAATCTGTAATCCATCAGCCGGAATAGCTCCGTTTAGAGATAATACCCTATCCAATGCTTACCGTAGCATCATATCCTCGCTCAGCTTGTTCCGAATAGCTCGAAATACGGGGTTTGAGACCAGCTCTTCCTCACCCCGCTTATTGACCTTCATGGGAGAAACAACCTTCATGGTGAAGCACTCTGGATTTTAATCAGCATCATCATGAAGCTGCCCTGCTGGTCATCGAACTTACAGCTTGATACGAGAATCAGGCCGTAAAGGCGGAGGAAAAGAGTCTAATGACAGATGAGCAATAGACAACAGCACAAGGATATGCCAGCAAGGAATAATAATATATTGAATGCAGCTTATTACATGGTCACATTCAATCAAACCAGGGCATGCCACCCTCGTCAGGCAGGCAGGCAGAGAGAGAGAGAGAGATGACCAGTTATTCTACATGCTGAAGATGAAGGCTTTTGCTTCAAGATTGAACTTGAAAACCAGGACGAGCCGAAGCTCAGGAAGCGACGAGCGTGCAGGTGCAAGTGTTAGCCTTCCTTCACCCGAGGGGACTCCTTCTCTCGCATAAAGCTTTCGAACGGAGAAGTTGGTATAGAGAGACGCACAAGGGTGAGAGAGCGCGCCCTGTGAAACACCTGGTATGTGCCAATCTCCGATATATATAAAAGGTACATAGTACCCAGGTGCATATATTAATCAACCGTCAGGTTAACAGGCCAAGAACAGCTCTTGCATTCGTCCAAAGGGAAATCGCTCAACGGTATATCTATAGGTGCAAGGATGACCCTTGAATGCTTTCGACTTCCATGCATCTCAGGACAGACGAGGGGGGTATCATAGTTCAGGTCGCCATCGCCGGTGATCATATGAAACCTCATCTATTGGATCGAAAATAGATATATTAACGTTTTCATAGATGCTTCCGGTTGCACAGCCTAGTAGTCTAGAAGCATCGAGGGTAACATTATCAGTGTTGGACGGAGCATAGTGTGTCAGGTCATTGATGTCGAGGCTTAGACTTAAATGCAACTAAACAAACGAGCTCTTCTCTCTTTTCCAGCAACAACTAAAGTCATTAGTTAGTTCCATGACGAAAAGCTTGTCTGATAGAGTTATGCTGCTAATTGAAGATCTGAGGATCCATATTTCTGGTCAATGTTCAACTGGCATCCCCTGTCGTCGATGCCTCTGCCATCAGCTTGAAGTCGAAGAGATCGGGTTACCGAACGATCCTTGAAACCAGATCTCCCGCTTGATAGGCAATCTCCATTCTCCGGAGGCGGCAGACATATCGGCACTGTGGACAATCCAGAGGCGGTTCGATACCCCATGTTCCGGCAAGAAGTGGATGATCGTGAGGAACCTCACATCAATTTATAGATATACAGGGATCCTGGAGGGGGTCAATATATCAGGCTTTGACGCCCAGGTTCAATATACACAACATCTAGCTACTTAAAATCGCTACTTGCCAAGGGAGCTACATATATCTGTTGGTTCAGGAACCGAAAAACCCAAACTCAGACGGATCTTCAAGAGCTCTCTCCATGACCATTTCTCATTTGGTTTTCGTTATGTTTGCTTTTTCTCCTTATCAACTAACTCAGGCTTGTTGCATGCATACATAGGGGTTGTCTCGTAACTATCGAACGGCACTTGGATGCGCTAGTGAAGCCGCGCTGCGGCAAGGGCTGGATGAGTTGACAGAAGCTTCGCAGATTCTCCGACAGCTTCGATGTTTACTCCGTACGGAGTATGTTCAGACCAGCCGGGTGAAGCCCAGTTTACCGTGGAAAGCTCCGGGTTTGCGTTAACTGGCTTATGTAAAAGACAACTTCCGTGACCCTTTTTTAGAACTATTTTTTCTCCGTCTTCTTATATATATTCGTGAAATTTGGGCTTTATCAAGCCTATCAATCCGCTGACGACATCGCTGAGCGCATTTCTTTTCAGCGGAATTAAATGAATGGATTAGGCAGCTCTACCCCCAGGTGGACGGACGGGCCCGTCTTTGTCAAGAGGCAGCCAATGATAAAAAGTGCGCAGGCTCTCAGGGAATCGGTTTGCCATTCTTTGCGACTTCGGGGGATGCTCTTGGGGGGCAATTCTCTGTTTATTATTCGCTTATTCCCGTTTCAACCAACAGCAGGTCTACACGAATCAACCTTCGACATTGGAACAAGGTTAGATATGAAGATGTTCATAGGATCAAATCATTTGGAGTCGACTATCTCCGCAAAAAGGTACTGACACCTCCTTGCCCCCTTCGACGAGAAGTTGGTATCTTGTGGTGCACCGGCGAATCAAAGAAATACGGACAAGCCATGGAGAACCCTACAAAAAGAAAGTTTCCCTGCGTTTTATATTTTGTGGCTCATTGATTGGCTTTCTTTCTTTTTGCTTGTATATAAATGATATTTCTTTTTCGTATTGTTTTTTTCGAGAATTGGATGAGGAATCTGCGATTTTTTCTTTGGGAGAGTTAGTTCCCGTGGCTTGGTGCTCAGCTTCCATCTTCCCGGCTAGTGACAAGACTAGGGAAGCTAACTTGGTGCTCGAAACGTGGAAAATCATGGGGATGGAAGCGCACGCTACTAACGTTGCACATCCAGAAGCAGGATGGAAGAATTCGTCAAATTCTCCCGTTGTTCGACGTACGACGTACTATACACCTGGAGTTTATAATTGCACCTGCACGGAGTATGGAAGGTAAGAGACGGAACAATGAAGTTGATGTCATGCCATGCACCCGGCTTCCGTATATGTACGTACTCCATACCTCCGTACTCAACAGCCAACATGTCTTTCTTTTTCTGTTTCCACCCCTTTTTTTTACATCTTCTTCATTGGCAGAATCTTGAACGCCGGCGAAAACACGAGCCGGCCATGCTGGGGTCAGGGTAGATTGACTCCCAAGCAGGAGACAACAAATCCATTTGTATAGTCAATCTGTTCAAGTTCGCACAGACTTGAGGGGCCGAACGTAATAAGTGAGCGGTGTGCTTCATGCAATGAGGCAAAACAGGAATTTGGAATGTATGAACATTGGCTGATTCCAGTCTATTTTTGTTGATTACGCCATACCCAGAGTTATCTTGTTGCCCCTGTTTGATCCTTTCAGGGATCGGAAGAGGCCTGAATGCGGGCAGTATATCCCTTTCCTGCTGTTTCTGAGAGGTCTGGCTCAGATTCTACTTTCTGCACTATAGAACCGGAAGGGTGAATCGGATGTATTTGTTTCGCAATGCTCTGTTCCCCATGACGCCGAGACTTACGTACTCCGTATACACGTAAGATTAGCGATGGGTATACTTTTTTATCTCGCATGGAATATGACCCGTTAAGATCGAGGTTGAGTTATGGGCTACGCCCTTTGGGAAGCAGGTCAGAAACGATGATCGATGCCAATTGGTTCAGACAGCCGCCTCTCCTCTAAATTTCTCAGTATTGTCCTACACCCTAATGCCGCAGAGCAGGGATCAAAAAGGTTTCCGGATCCGAGGAGTTTTGACTGAATTTTTGGTTCAGAGTGGCGGTGGTGGCCATGGTCAAGACAGGTAAAATGCACGATTGGATCGTCAACCCTTGTCTTTCGTTTCTTGCTTGTCAGCCGACCCTCTTGCTGATATCTCTTGTGCCTCTCCTGTGCCTCTCTTGTGTCACCGAGAATACACTGTTTTAAACGAAGAAGTAATATTTAAAAATGGCCAAGTAAAAACATGGCGGTCATACCTTTCGTCGTGTTCTAGAACTTGATAAGGAATCATTCCTTCAACACGTGGAATAATGAGGGAAAAGTGAACAGTTGTGACAGTTGTGTACCTCGTATATACGAATATGAAAAAGGAAATCAAGGAGACTCTATTGCTTGGATGAGGAGTAGGAACTCTGTGCACTCTGTTGCGGCGCTGGGCAACGGGGTCCGTCCGACTATTTTCATTTTCATGCAAGATGTGCAACAGGCTGTCCCCTGGATTGTTTCCTCCCCCTGTTCCTTGAACAAGAACGGATCGTGGTCGTCCCGTGAACATACCGAGCTTCAATGGGGAAGAGAACTGCTCTAGGGCTCCATACTGCGGAGACAGAACGATGATCATAATGTACGTATTATAAAGGTGTTGACACAAGAGTGAAATCCTTCCCCCACAGCATATTGTGGGAATATGTTTGCTCCATATCAAACGGAGCTGTCAATCGAGGAACCGTTTTAAACGCCGACATGCTCACGCCATAAAGTAATCAGGGTTAATTTGAGCTTCCTGCATGTTTATATTCAGCTGCTGTGTGGTACACTAAAGGGCTAGTTCCCATCGGCTAACGAGTACCCTTCTTTCTAAGAGAAAGTGAGGGGGGAGAAGCTTGGTGCCTGATGATCGTAGATCTGGCTTTGAGGCTCGAAGGATGGAGTACATGGTCGAGATACTTCAGATACTTCCATGGTGAAGAAATGGTAGTAAGAATTTAGAAGCAATGAGGCTTGAAACTTCAAGTGCCACCCACCCTTCGGCGTAGAGCAGATGTCATTCGTTGGAGATATGAACAGTGTTTCCAACCAGTGGAAGAAATGCCAAAATACCTTGGTCTTCTGATGTAAGGTTTTCCATGGGCAGTTGGATTGTTTCAGTACCATTCCCCAGAAGCTTTTAGAGTGTCCTCCATAGCATGTACTATGTATGTATATGTTCTGTCATACGGAGTACTTCGTGTGTATACATAGTATGTACTTATACCAAAAGCTTGGGTCAGCACCAGCGCCTGTGGTTCTATTTTCAACTTTGCCCTTTTTTTTCTCGAGCAAACATAGTATGTTCCTCGTCTCGTATTCTTGTCTAGATGGAATGCGATGGCGCCATGAGATGTGGCCATGAGGCTAGACTAAGCGTGTGAGGGCGTGAAGGAGGGCCGAAGGTCAGCCATCCACGTTTCGTCAAAGGCGGCCGCGACCTGGATTAAACCTCACGCTGGTCGAAAGCTTGTTGCGCATGGCCTTTGGGGATTTGGAAATGGCGATGAAAACAGGCTAGTTATTGAGAACACCCCGTATTTATAAATACTTGCCTGTTACTGGGGCGTGTGCCTCCATACGTCGCAGGTACGCCGCACAGTGGTCTTGCACGTAATTACTTGTCCCTGAAGCGAGGATTGACGGACGCCCTCGCTTGATTACTATCATGATCATTATATTTTGCTGGGTTAATCGCGGCTCCGATAAATAAAGGGAGTGGAGTTGGGTTGAGGGAAGGGGATGGAAGGATGAGTGGAAGGAAGGTATTTATTTTGACACAAACTGAGTCAGAAACGTGCATTGGGCATGTCTGTTGCTTGGGAACGAGGTACCAAGTCCATGGAGAGGAGATTCATATGGGCCACTTCATCCAGGTTCCTAGTAGCAGGCAGCGTGTGACCTCATGCAGGCTGCCCTACATAGTTGAAGGACCAGGGAGACGAGAGGACGGTGCCTCTGAATCCTACATATATAGTAAGCGCAAGGTCAGGCCCTCACATGGTACGATGAAAGACCGCGCAATCTCAAAAAAAAAAAAAAAAAAAACAGGCTCGTTTTAATCACACGCTGACTGGGGTGCTCAAAGGCGGTACCGGAGTGTATTCCTGGTTCGTCAGTAACAGGCCAAACCGTTGTATGGAGTATGATATATATATGCCTGTAAAGAATCACTTTCCAGACAAGGATAATGAATTTATATTCTCTACTCATCGAGGTGTGGTCGTTTCTGCAGCCCTTTTTTATGCACAGTGTGAAGGGAGCAAAAAGCAGCTAAAACGGCTGTTAGCCTGCCGGAGAATTTCTTTAGTGTTTGTAATTAACAATGCCTGACGTATAGCTGGGATGAGTATATTCATATAGAGGAGCACTTAATTCATGACCTTTTAAGTCAGCCAACCCATGTCATGACATCTTAATATCCTTAACTTACTCTTTATGGAAAAGGAGCGGACACACAGACCCTCTAGAGGACAGCTTTTTTAGCACCCATGCAGGATGCTCCATCCTTACCCCCTACTCCATACATAGTACATCCCTCCATCCTGCGGGCAGGCAAAGAGAGGTGTGCCAGTCCCAGTCCCACTTGCCAGTCGGATGCAACTTCATACGGAGCCTGGCTCTAAAGCGATAGATTGCAGTGGGCAGGATCTTTGTTGATGCATGATTTATTCTATTTCAGCATTACATATGGAGTATAGAGTGTAACGCTAAGCCCCAGGTTTGGGCTCCCTTGGTCTTCTTGTCTTTTCTTTTTCCCCTTTTCTTCCTTTCTTTTTCTTTTTCTTTCTTTGCCATTTCTGTACGGAGTAGTCGGCGGACGACCGATGCCCAGCGAAAAGAGGGTGGATATAGGATGATCCGCGACGAGCAGCAGCTAGGCCAGGCCAGAGTGGAAATAATTAACGGGAATTAGCTTAATCCTAGAGGAGACGAGCCGCGTTATACTTTTAGGCGGTATCGACTAGTAACTGGGGCTCTCCCAAACCATCGTGCATGGACTTGGCCGTGGTGCCTGGTTGGCCTGTCTGCTCCATCGATCGCTCTGTATGCGCGGGGAGTCTATCGGGGACCATCAACCTCCCCGACAGGATCTCTGGTTCATCTTGTGCTCCCATTATATGCATGGGAATGTGATGATTTTCGAATGTGAAATAACATCAAGAAAGAAAGAAGAAAAGTCGATGAAGCGACGTCAAAAGAAAATTCAAGTCACGGGACAAGTCACGGGGACGGGACGGTCTATCGTTCATCCGAAAAGTCTCGTGATCAGGCTAAACTTCTTCCGTCTTTTTCCAGCCGAAAGAAGGAAGAAAAATAAAAAAAAAAAAAAACTCCCAACTTCGCCTTCTTAGTCAGAGAGCCCAAGTTATTTTTTCCACCTCGACCGTCTGCGCCATACGCAGTAACGCCCTTATTTTATTTACCCTTTTCCCCTTTTTCTTCATCGCTGGTTGGGCGTTGTTGGTTACGCTAGCGGACACGCTAGTATTGCTCTCGTAAAGGGCTGTAAAAAAATACTCCAAGTGTCGAGGTACGTCTCCCTCCCTCTCTAACCCCACGGTGGGTGTCGTTGGAACCAAACCCTTAGCTCGAGAAGAGACTACCAGCTGTCCGAGTACCCCTGGTTGCATATATATATGTACTATACTTACCAGCCACGAGTTGATGCTAATAACAACCTTGCTAGGCTCCTTTTTTGGCTTCTAAAATTGATTAGCCAGGGCTGACCAGGGCAGGGATCCTCAAACTGAGATCCAAACTGCTGTCTCCAAGAAGCAGCACACGGCGGCCGACCCAACGTCAACAACGCAAGAGGAAGACAAAAGAAAACATAACAGTGGAAAAGGTCCCCCGTACACGGGGGTACGGAGTGAGGAGAGCAAGAGACTTGAACGGCAACTTCTCACTCTTTCACCCGTATTTGTCCTCATCAAATCACGGAAGAAAAAGCAAAAAAGAAACGAGAAACGAAGACAAAAAGTATATCAGAAAGAAGTTATTGAGAGTGAGAGAGTGGCAGGACTCCACACGGTCGTCCACACTCCATAGTACTTCTCGAACTCTCCTGCGCAAACCCTGTCTTGGTTCTCGGTGCACCTTTTTTTACACTCACAAAGGTGGAGTTGAGTTCCCCATCGGCATACTGCGGTATCCGGAACTTCTCGCCTCCTCCCCCCTTCCCAACGCAAAAAAAAAAAAAAGAGAGAGATAGGGAACAGACATAATCCCCTTTCTTGGAGATATATGCGCACGGCGTCGTATTGCTCTGGGAATCTCTCGCCTCACCTTTAGGACGCTTTCAAGCTATCATATTGTTTCCTCAGACAAGAGAGAAACACAAAGTGAAGGTGATAATTCGGGCCAGACTATGGGAAAGAGATTGAGGGAGCTTTGATTGGGGGAAAATCACCTAACGAATACACGTTATATTTCTTATACTTCGCTTGTGATTGCGCGCCCACGGAAGGAAGAACATCTGCGAGAGGCCAAAATTATAAAATTACGTCTCCACAGCCAACCAGACGATCCACACGCCTCTTTTTTTTTTTTTTTTTTTTTTTTTGCAAGAACAAAAAATCTCACCTTTTCGTCTTTCCTTCACCCAGTTGGTATCTATACCGCAAGCCGCCAGTACGCCATCTTACGCCAATACTATCCTCCTTCAGCTCGGCCAGAGGTGCCGCGTCCAACAAGTACTGGTACCGCTCCCTTTTTTTTGGGAGCTCTCTTCTGCTTAATTTCCGTGATTAGGTTCAAACAACAAGAACGTGACAGAAAAAGAGGAGCAAAAAACGGCCAATAGTGCTGCCACTCATTTTGCGTATCCTCTTCATCTCCAACACTCATTCCTCCTCGTTCGAGAAGGAAGAAACAACCAAAGGAAAAGGGAGCCTTCAGATAACTCTCCATTCCATAATTATACACAACTCCTCGTGAGATCCACTTGGCGGATCCCTATTATTATTATTTTATTTTTTCCCAGCAATTGGGCCATCGCCTCGGTGCAAAACCCAAACGGACAAGCCAGACAAAAAGCAAAAAGGGGGATATCATTTTTCATTCGTTCCAACTCCTCTTCCAAAGGCCCACCCTTGATAGACGCTCCAAACTACCCTTTTTAACGGACAGTTGGGAGGTTGGATTTTTTGGGTCAAAAACCGGCCGCCTTGCCACCGTCTCAGCACTACGACCGAAAGTCCTTCTTTTTCAGCTAGGAACATTCCAACCCTTCCTTTTTAGTCTCATTCCATCTCGAAACAGACGCTATTAATATTCCCTTACCCTTCCATTGACTTTGGCGCTACTGCGAATCGATCACCAGGTGCTGTCAGCAACGAAATAGCAACACACGCTACCGTCTAGACGTCCCGATTGGAAATAAAACCATACTCTCTTCGTACTGGTGTCCTTTCCAAGGTTTATCCTCTTTTTTTTTATATTTTATTTTTCGCTTGCGACCTGCTTAAACTTTTCCGGTTTCTCCCTGGTTCACGCGGCTTCTTCCCCCTAAAGTTGACGGACAACGGGCACTTAAGCACGCTATATTTGAGAAGTGCATATCCAAGCACACCAGCAAAGAAAAAAAAAAGGGAAGAAGAAGGAGAAGAAGAAGCCCCCTTCTCCACGCGACCGTTCTTGACAAAGCAAACAATAAGGGCAAACCATCCTCCCCCAAGCCCTTTTCGAACTACTCTTAAATCCAACCCTAGTTCGTTTCCACGAGCAGTTCGGCGCGTCAAATTCCATCTTTGTTTTTTTACTTCTTCGACTTACTTTCTCACACCGACGGCTCAACTACCAGCTCCCGCTAAGAAAAACCCCCCCGACTCTTAGCTTCTTCATCCCCCTTCGCTGGACCGGTCTTTACTAGCTGGACAAGCTTCCAACTTATTCTCTATCTCTATTAAATTCGATTTACCTTGCCATCTTGTCCTTTCAACAAATAAAATCCATTGGCGCGCACCAGCCCCCTCGCTCTTTGACTTACTACTACCTGGTTTGAGGTAATTCGTTGGAGGAAAAAGAGGGAGAAGAAAAATAAAATAGCATAAGGGGGCTTCGTTACCGTTGACCAGACGCGACCAAAGCTATCTTTTATGGACAGGCCTGCTTCCGACTACGCGCAGCCAGGTTTGAGCCCTCAATATCCAAGTCTCCCGGAGACACAGTCTGAACAATCAGCTGCAGATCAGGCAACTGCTGCTGCTGCCGTCGCATCCCCTACCCAAACCGAAGCTCGTCGAACTCCCCAATCCCAATACTCGGCACCTCCAGAACCTCGATCGGGCGGTATCTCATCTTCGAATACCCCCCAACCAGACTACGGCTTGCACCAGAACGCTTCCCATCCACCACCGCCTCCGGCCGCCGCGCGCCCATCTCCCTACCCTGAATATTTGACGCGCCAACCCCAGTACCACCACGCACCTCATACCCAAGCCGGCGGGCCGCCAGGTATGGCTCAAGCAACAAGTCCGTCCATGAACCCGCAAGATGGGCAGCAGAGTGACCATCGAAGTCCCGCGCAAGTTAAGTCTGACACCGAGGTTCCTATAGATCCCTCGATTGCAGCCTCGAGCCCGTCCTATCCTCCACCATACTCTCCCTACGCTCCTCAGAGCCACGACATGGCGCAATACCAAAGTCATCCACCGCAGATGTACGCTCGTCCGGACTGGCCACACCAATATGGAGGCCACCAGCCAGGCATGCCCGGCCCTTATAGCTCCCCGGCTTCAGCAGTGAGTTCAGCTTCCCCCGCTGCCACCGCTGGGCCACGACCTGGACAGGTATGGATCACTTTTCTCTTTCCCCTTCCTATTTTCGTTATTTTATATATACATATTCTCTTTGGGCACGTTTCTTATGCCACATAACCACCAGTGGACTGAACAGGCCATCTGATGTGTTTTCTTCTTCTTTGTCTTGCATTAGACTCATTATAGATCCCAGGTCTTTTCATTCGTGCCTATCCCCGGCTCCCAACAACATAAGCGACCTAGACGACGATATGAAGAGATTGAGCGAATGTACAAGTGCGGATGGAATGGATGTGAAAAGGCCTATGGCACACTAAATCATCTCAATGCACACGTCACAATGCAGTCACACGGTGCTAAGAGATCTCCAGATGGTTTGTCCCCCCTATCCTTCCATTCTTCCTATCCTTGTGTTTTACAGGCCTACTCTATTATCTTCCTTGCCGTCTCCTGGCCCCCTTGCATCCCTTAGTCTGTGTAACAGAAGCCTTGTTGCCGGTCGAAGCTGCAAGTTTGTGGAGTGTGCAGTAGCGTCGTAAACCATCCCCAAAACTTAAGCATTACCCTTCCAGTGCCAAGACATGCTAAGCTAGCACCAACTTTCTATCCCACGATTTCAACAACTACTACTTCTCTGCTGGCTTATTACTAACCAAATCATGATATCTGAATAGAATTCAAGGAGATCCGCAAGGAGTGGAAAGCTCGCAAGAAGGAAGAAGACAACCAGCGCAAAGCTGCGGAAGAGAGAGAAAGGGCCGCACAGGCTAACCAGGTTGACAACAATGGTGGCCCAAGTGGAAGTGGCCAACCTAGCCAACCAACTACCTCCTATGCTGCCGGTGTTCGGCCTCAGCTGCCGCCAATAGGCTATCAGCCAGCAGACGGTCAAGTGCCAGGTCAGTACGGTGCTTCTCCTGGTGGTTTAGTCTATCCAGCTGGCAATGGCCAGATGCCTGCAACCTACTCTCCAAGCTACCCCCATTCCCCTTATGGTCAGGGCAGTCCGGTCTACCCACAACCACCGCGTGAGTGAAGTCACACGACCCTATTTTCTTGTCTTGTCTCTTTTCATCTTCCCCTCTAGCCTTTCCTCTGCATAATATTTAATCCCCACCTTTGCTTTTGCTTTATTGCCCGAACATTGCCCTCTGCCTATGTTTCCGAACCATTGTATAGAACATTGGTGCATTAACCCACTTCTCATCCTTTTTTTATTCCCACCTGGCGAGATACGGCAAATATCTGGGCAAATTTCTCTTGCATGTCATACGTTCCTTCTCCTTGTGAGGTTAAAAGGAAGGGGAAACAAGCAAAGGCTGATCCAACTCATCCCATTGGCGATGCTGACAGCTAACATGATCCTCCCAGAGAACCAGTCCAACAACTATCCATAAAATAATCTAATCAAGACTGTGGAATACCCCTTTTTCTCTACCCCCTCTTTACGCCAAACCCTCCCCCTCGTCTGTTGATGCTCCAGTTACTCTAATTGCGTTATTCACGATCTTCTTCCCCCGTCGCCTCTCCCACTACGCGCCCTCTCCCCTGTGCCCGGCATTTTTACTCCATTACATACATTTTATCACCAGCAATGGCTTGTTACCCTCTTAGTTTTTGCTTTCTACTTACCCGCCGTCGCCCAACCCCATCATAACTGGATGAAGAAAGGGGGAGAAATTACTAGATAATCCTAATATGTTTGGTGGGAGCCGGGACATCCCACCTACATCACCTTGTGCTTCTTCTCTTCCCTCTCAGAATTTTCATTACCGCGTCAGTCCTTCGATCGGCATGGCCCTACAATGTCTCTATTGAATTTTGATATCCATCTCGCCCTGTCTTGTTTTTCTCTTTACCTACTATGTTTTGCCTTTCTTATGTCTCTGCGCTCAATTCGTCTCAAATAGAGGAGGAACCTTCGCCCTCACACTTAATGTGTACCGGGGATCATCGAAGCGAAAGGAAACGGGAAAAGGAACATGAAGTCAAGCCCTTTTTTTAATTTTCACGAGCAAATGGAATGAAACCAAAATATCTTGGTAACAACTCTAGAGGCAAATGGTGGTGGTGGGCGGCGGACGGAAGGCGTAACGTTCAATTTCTTTATTTGCTTCTCGCGTTCTTGTTTTCCTGCCAGGGGTTGCTGGTTGTTGGTTAGGAGGTTTGGGGGGTTTTTTGCATGATATTGATGTTTTTTTTATCCTGCTGCTGTTGCTCTTTTAATATGTTTATTAACCTCTATTACCATCTCTTTTTGATGCCGTTTGGCTGCCGATTGTTTAAAATGCTGTATCTATGTTTATTGTCACTCCTCTCTTAGCTTTGTTAATCACACTTGTTTCTAGTATGTTATTCCGTCAGTATCAAATTGTGTACTTTGCATTTTATGCGTATAGCTCAAGGCGATGTCAAGGCGGGCGTTTAGTTATGCCGAGGCGGGGATTTCACGCAGGCAGTCGACTTCCTCGCCATAAACATCATAGCCAGACATCAGTGAATTGTCAAGACAATGGGACTGAAGCGGGTTCTTGTTATTGCAGGCTCAGACAGCTCGGGGGGAGCGTAAGTATCTGTCCATATCAGCTGGAATCAAGAGAAGTATTCATTCTAATCATTAGATAGAGGCCTGGAGGCGGACCAGCGAGTGCTCACTGCCCATGGCTGCTATGCACTCACGGCGACGACTGCATTGACAGCACAGAATACGCTTGGAGTACAGGATATCCATGTTATACCAACGGAGTTTGTGAGAAAGCAGATCAGAGCCGGGTTGGAGGATGTGGGCGCGGATGGTGTAAAGATAGGTACGTTGCGGGTTATGGGCCGTCTCCGTTTCCTTTCGAGATTCAAGGCTGGAGTAGAATGTATTAAAGACTCGAGGATGTTAACATGTATTCCTAGGAATGCTGGCGTCCATGGAAACGGCAGTCATGGTGGCGGAGGAATTGAAAGCACATAAAGTGCCCTCGATCACATTAGACCCTGTATGTTCGTCCAGTTGAGGTCGACAGCGACGATACTGGTCTAACTGTTAATTTAAAAGGTCATGATATCTACTAGCGGCTCGCAGCTGCTACCTCCAGATGCAGTGAAAGCAGTACGAGAGAATCTACTGCCAATAACCACCGTTCTTACCCCGAATATCCCGGAGGCAGTTCTCCTGCTTCGAGACTCGGGTGTAGACGTCAAGGAGCCTGGAAATCTAGATGATGCAATCGCTCTTGCAAAAAATATCCATCAGCTTGGTCCAAAGCATATACTGTTAAAAGGTGGCCATCTGCCCCTGAATGCTCAGCGACAGAAGCCTACCTCAGACGAAGATGCGGCTATTGTCGTTGATATCTTGTACGACGGCGTGGAAGTGACATTGATCGAGGCTAATTTCTCGAGATCTAAGAATACGCACGGCACAGGATGTTCTCTTGCATCGGCGATTGCGGCAAACCTTGCTAGCGAGATGGAGATGACCCGAGCAGTACGTGAGGCATGTCGATATGTTGAAGCTGGGATAAATACCAGCACTGATCTGGGGAAGGGGAATGGTCCAATTAATCATTTCCATTCCCTCTACTTCTTGCCTTATGCACCGTGAGTGTCCACCCATAGTCTTACATGTGAATTGACGCAAATAACTGATGGTAGGCATGCAGGGGACATTTTATTGATTATATCCTAGAACGACCTGACGTCCAGCCGGTATGGAAGGCCTTCACAGAACATGAATTCGTGCAGAAGCTTTCAGTTGGAACGCTGCCTGTCGAGAACTTCAAGTGGTACCTTGTTCAAGACTATCTATATCTAGTACGTGGACGCTTATCGGCATAGGGCCTGCCTACATCCTAATGTTAGTTTATAGGTACACTTTGCACGAAGCAATGCACTGGCTGCATATAAGAACTATAGCATGGGCGACATCGCTATGGTAGGAGAACATGCACGGAAAGCGACAAGAAACCATCTGCTGACATGCGTGTCTAGTCCTCAAAGATCGTCCTCCACATCCAACACGAAATGAAACTGCATCTTGACTACTGTGCCTCGTTCGGGCTATCCAAGGAGGACATCGAAAACTCCAAAGAAAGCCTAAGTGAGCCTTGCCGTGCCGGAGTCAACATTCTCACCTCGCAGTGGATGCTAACTTGCACATAGCCTGCACGGCATACAGCCGATATATTCTAGATATCGGCCACTCGGGCGACCGGTTGGCTCTCCAGTTCGCACTGGCTCCCTGCCTCCTTGGCTATGGAGCCATTGCCCAAAGACTCTTCCACGCTGACGAAAGTGTCAGAGAAGGTAATAACTATTGGAAGTGGGTTGAAAATTATGTCGCAGAAGATTACTCCGAGGCCGTCAAGCTAGGTTCAGGTAAGCAATTTCCGTATATTTCTCTCCATACCGGATGTCTATGAGCATCGCTAACAACAGGTATCCCGGACAGCCATGCTCGAGAAGCATTCAAGAAGCATATCACCCTCTCGCGTGGAGGAGCTGGTTCAGATATTTGTTCGAGCAACGGAGCTCGAGATCGGGTTTTGGGATATGGGGCTGAAGGGGGAGTAGGTGTTATGCCGTGTCTTATATAGTTCTATCTGGGCCAGTGTCAGGTCATTTGCAATAATAAGCACCTTCTAAACACCACACAATCATTAGAATAACAAACAGCTGCCCTCAAATATATAATATATAGAACTCTTCCTCTTGCTCTCTGTATAACAAAAACTTAGTCAGCAGCCGAGGCGAGCTTACATAATATAATCCACGTGATTACCATATTATATAATCCGGTTTAACTTTTTTACTTTCCGAAAAGAAAAAATTTTGACAAAAAAAAAAGTTTTCTGAATTTTTTTTTTCCCTCGAACTTTTATAAATTAATTATTTCGCCGCAAAAAAGCCTTCGCTTCCTCTTCATCAACAACTCCCCAACTCACCCTTTTTTCCTTTTCTCTGCTGTCACTCTCTCTTCTCGCCTAGTACAGGACAAGAGGATTCGTGACGATAGCTTTTTCTCTTGCTGCTCAAGAAAACTCCTCTTCTATCTCCTCGACCATGTCTTACGGCGGTGGCGGCTACCGGGACCACCAGGGTGGTGGTGGAGGTGGTGGTTACAACTCTAGGTAAGCATAAGCTGGTCTATCTCAGTTCTATCTATCTCTCTCTCTGGATGGAGCGACCGTCCGGGAGTGGTAATAGTGTCCTGGCTCTGTTCAAGTATTTTCAAGACGTCCACTAACTCATTCAAGACACAGAGGTGGCGGCGGCGGTTATCAAGGAGGAAGCAACGGATACTCCAACGGCCACTCAAACGGTCCCAGCTCGTATGGTGGTGGTTTTGGAGGTGGTTATGGTGCTGGCGGCGCGGTGGTGACAGGATGTCAAACCTCGGCGCTGGCCTGAAGACACAACAGTGGGGTATGTTTTAGATA